TTAAGAAAATACCTATTTGTCATTCGATAAAAAATACTTCACTGATTGCAAATCGATTGACAATGTTAAATTCAAACTTCTGCTTCAATGTTAATACAACTTCCTAGGAGTGAATCCAGTGAAGATGTCTGATTTGTCTTACTAGGAAAACTAGACCAGGAGCTACTTAAGCCTGTAGGAAAACTGTAAGCAGCGTTTATTGATTTTAGAAAGGCTTTTGACTTCCTGATCCATTCTATTCTGGGGCAATCATTATATGAAATAGCAGTAAGTAGCACAATTATAACATAATTGAGAATAAGTATCGATCAACTATAAAAGCAAATGTGAAGAGCAACTCAAAGTGAAGATCAATCAAATCAAATCTGCTCCAACTCGACGAAAGTAATGGAAGTGAACTACCTTTTCTCTTCCCTTCGTAATATCAGTTTCTTTGCAGGCGAAGGGTACAGACACATACGTATGTTGATAAGTGCTATACGAGAAAGTAAACTAGTGGCGCTACGACGTGGCACAGACTTTCTCGAACTAGTTTTCTAATCTCTTTAGTCTGGACTAGCTTTTCGGTATTGCCCCTCTCTCATCCGAGATGCCATATTTTGAGCACAAAGGGTATTGCTTTCACATTTTATTAATTTTTCGGTCCTCTAACAGAAGGACTGAAATAATGACATTAAGATTATATACGTGAATAAAACCTGATCCTTCATGCAAATTATCGTGGAAGTAAAAACAATTGCGCATAATTTTGATCTCTTTTTCACAGAAAAAGTTTTCGAGAAACGTCATTGAAATCATTTGAATCATTATTGCCCTTATATTCACAAATGTAGTAATATAAAGAAATCGCCGGTAATGCAAATATTCACGACGGAGAGACTACGGACAGACGATCGGACACTTTGGAAAAACGAATGCATCCGTTTCTACGTGTGTTGCAACAACTTGCAATTGCGTGCAGTTATTATCGACCGAAAATTTGAGAAATTCATAATTTGCTAAGCATAGCTCTATAGTAACTTTCAAATCAATTCGCATGTTGATACATCTTCTAAGTTAAGAAGTTTGGAAATGAGCCCTCCACGTTCTATTGCTTTACTCTGTACACATGAGCTAGTGGTACGTTCTAATTATTAATACACGCTTCATTAAAGCTGCCACTCTACGTCAGCTCTTAGCATTGCGAGGAAAACAACTCTAGGTCCTTATACCTCTGATGTCCATCCATTAAGAAAGCGTAAAAAATAAAGGAATATGACACACTAAATCCGGATCCGCGCAAACAGAGGGGCGAGTGGTACAAAGAACCATCAAAATGAGATCATTAAAATATCAGAAACAGTACGGAAAGTTGCCATTCGGTCACCGAAACTCATGAGAAGAAACGCCGTAAATTTGTGTTAGTAATTACTAGGCATTGGAGATTAAGGCACTAAAACCTTATGACACTAAACGTCTAAAATACGCTAAAAAGCTTAAAAATAAACATGAGAAGGCAATAATACACTTCAGTACACATGTAACTAAAATAGGAAAAATATTGATTGCGAAAACTACGAGTAGGACTAAACTTGATAAAACTAATGAACTTATCATCTTGTTGGGCAAGTTATAGACCAGGGTTGCCCAACTGGCGGCCCGCGGTGCCGTTTATTGTGGCCGGCGAAAGGTTATTAGTTGATGTGAAAACCTTTTCATCCCGTGTTGGGCGAGAAACAGCGCGCCGAGTAACCGCCCCTGCCGGGGTCAAAATCCCTTTTATTGCGAAAGTAGCTTAAGTTTAGATTTAAGGATTTTTAAAATCATCCCAATATGAATTATGTACGTTACGACCTGATATCACGCACGCTTTCATCTGCCCGCCCCGGTTCAGAGCAGCTGGGGAAAAGGCCGAAAGGAACAAATCGGGGAAATCAGGGCGAGGGCAGGGGCGCCTGAGTAATGAGAATACGGCCATTTTAAAAGTTTTAGCTGCGGCCCTTGATGCCTTTGAACGTAATTGTGCCCTTAATGAAATAAAGACTTTTAAAACAATATGTAAACGAATCCTCCTGACATTCTGGCGAAGAATATTTATTTACAATGGTAGGATAAAAAGTAATAAGAAATTTTTTATCGAGAAAATACTTTATTGACTGAGGAATTTACATTTACACATCTTCAATATAATCGCCTCCGATATTGATGACAAATGTTAGGAAGTCGTCGTACACCATCTGCACCTCTACTTCTGTTGATGTTCTATATTGACCGCCCTATAGCATCAATAGTTTCTTCTCTGCTATTGTACCTATGCTTCGCAGTAATTCTTTCATTTTGCTGAAGACATCGCAATCAAAAGAACTTTTATCGGATGAGTAAGGAGGATGTTCCAGAATCTCCCATTGCCAGTGGCACAAGAGGTCTCCATCTCTTATCCTTCACATCATCTATGCCTAATCTGAACGCTTTAACCCATCGTGCAACTGTGCAAAGCTGCATCACCACATGCTTCACGCAGTCCCTGAAAACAGTTTTGTTTACTCCGACCTCGTGCGACTTCAATTCTGAGCAACGAACGTTGGAACCGAAAGAGCGGCTGCGGGTGACGGAGGCATGAAGGGCCCGCGGTCGTGTTTGCTGCTCCCCCGATAGCCTTGCTCACTTGCGCATGCGCGCACGCGTCTTGCGCCGAGCGGCGGCGCTGGCCCCTCGCCCTTCGATCTGGATGCCCTCGGAGGGGGCCGCAGCGGCGGGGAAAGGGACGGGCGCCCGGCACCCCTCCGGAAAGCGAACTCAACACTGGCACACGTGTCTATTGATCTGGAGAGTTTCGAAACTCGAATTCTAACGCGCGACCTTTGACTCAACATCAGAAAGAGGGTATTTTATGATACGCCCTGCAATTTGGGAGGTTTGTTCCCGATATCAGTCAGAACTGAAATAACAAAGACACCGCGAAATTCGGTTTTCTCATGATTGCCATTACCATGAGCACACAAGTGTGCTTGTGTTCTGGATCGTTATAAAACTTGCATTCCAAAAATAATTGAATTTTGTGTCACTTAGGCTCGCCCTCACGCTCCTCCCACACAAATAACTTTGTGCACGTTAAGAGGCTTCGCGCCGGTCCTTGAGGTTCGGGCCATGTGCTGGAGGCGCCGTGTGCGGCTGGCATTCCGTTCCATTTGTCTTATTTATATATATATATATATATATATATATATATATATATATATATATAGAGAGAGAGAGAGAGAGAGTAAGAGTTACTTTACTTTTGAAGTTGTTTTGAGTAACAAACTTTTTTATAAAAATGTAGTAAATTCTTCCTCCATTAGCGATATTCGCATGGTAAATTTTGTGCATGATAGAAGTGAAGAGGTTGGTACTCGTTAAGCGCGCCTAAACTGAATTCGAACAGCCCGCCAGCTTCGAATGCGGCACAATAATCAGCGCGCCACTGAGGTTTGTGTCGAGACACTCTGGAAGGTGTCGAATATGGGTTTAGGTATTAGTTTACTTTTGACTATAGCGACGTACATTCGCATGAAAATGCCGCGCAGATGCAGAAACGAGGAATCCGCAGACATAATTGATGTTCATGGTTTTTGTGACGGCATTTCGGAAAGACTGATACAAGAATATCAGAAACAATTTTCTAATCGTAATGTACCGCATAAACGCGTATTTCTTAACATCTTCAGAAGAGAGAAACTGGTTCATTATCTTCGACTTCCGAACGCTGCTGTTCTCGAGCTACGGAATAAGCAAGTGACCTTGTTATGAAAGAAGCTGAAGAAAACTCATCACACAGTGTAAAAAGGGTATCTTCTCGGTTGTGTGTTGCGAAGAGTGCAGGTTGGAAATTCCTTCTCAATGAAGGTTTGTATCCCCACAAATTTTGCAATTTGCAATACTTACAACCACAAGACTGAATCGCGTATGGAGCTTGGTACCTTCTTTAAAGGCCTGATATTTGCAGGCAGATGTTATTCACTGACGAGGTACAGTCCACGAGAATAATTAATTTTAGAAATAGTCATTTACGGGCTTCTTGTAAGAGCATGCAGCACATGAAAAGCAATTTCAAAGAGAATTACTTTAAATGTGTGGTGCGGAATTGCTGGAAATCAAATTATAATTCCTCACTTATTTGACAGAACGTTAATGTTTTGTATGAACGTTAATTTTTTTATTTGAACATGTATTTGCTGTTCTTAGAACATGCATTACCTTCCAATCTAGATGCCTCTCCCCCTGCATTCCTCAATGTATTTTCAGGGCAATGGAGCGCCGCCACATTTTAAAAGAAATGTACAAAACTTTCTCCATATGAAGGGTACAGATATATATGGATAGGTCGAGGGGGACCTCAAAACTGGCCAGCAAGATCCCCCGACCTTACTCCACTTGATTTTTATCTTTGGGGCCATTTAAATAGACTAGTATTGATGCAAAATGTTGACAACAGAGCTGCTCTTGTAACGCGAATTTAAGATGTTCTTGAGGAAGTCGGGAGTAACCGGGAAGTATTAGTAAGTAACAGTAAGTAAGTAACACATTTTGAACATCTTTTATAAGTGTACACCAGCAACAATTTAAAGTCAAACCAAAGAAGACAAAGAGCTGCCAAATGCTCCGCAAAGACCCAATTTCGACAACTTTACTTCTGTGTCAATATTTCGTTGTAAAAGATGTATTCTTTATTTTGTAAATATTAAACAACTTATATGATTCTGGAGTGTTTCTATGCTTCTGCGATGCAAATTTTTGCCTAAAAAAGAATTTTTTCAAACCAACTATTCAGAGCTTATTGCGGCTCAGCCATTCAGAATATTTTTTAGTCAAAAGATACTTTAAGTTGTCTGTAGAGTTTCTTTTGAATTTTCGACCGTTCCTTCCTGGACATATATATATACACACACATACAGAGAGAGGTTAGAGAGGGAAGAGGGAGAGAGGAGAAGCAGTAACGTCCCTTCCTCTGTGTACCCTGCTCACTCCACTGCTTGTGTCGGCAGGGCTGGCGCCATGGCGGGCATGCTGTTCGTGGTGTCGGTGCCCAACTCGGCCACCGAGCGCCGCCTTCGGGACGAGCTGCTCCTCGCGGCCAAGGACCGCATCGACGGCAAGGAGCCCGTCACGCTCGAGAAGGTACCAGGGCCTTCCAGCCTCACGCGATGCATTCAGTAGTCCCTTAAGGGTAGTGCATGTATTCATCGCCGGAGGTGGCAGTGATCTCCCCCAGATGGATGGCAAGCTCGTCGGCTGCCCAATCCAGGTATCTCCCTCTAGCGGGACGCCGCCCAGCGCGGGGCAGTCTGGCTCCCGACTGGTCTCCCGGCATATGTGGTGCTGTTTGGATGTTAGTGCACGTAAAAGTAAGGGTGACGACGGGAGAAGGCGAGGAAAGATCGCGCGCCGTTTGTGGCCCGTTTGTTAGGTACCGCTCCGGTACTCTTCTCCAGACAGCAAGTGAATTCGATTCGACTGACAAGCTAGTGTCAAAAACCATGCCCCGTCGTGACTCGAATCGTAGGACCTCCCGGTCATCAATTATTGCCTTGAGCCACCTTTGCCGGTGACAGACTCAATCGAAGCGTTTGGTGGTTGAACAACTGAAGAATTTTCGGTATGGTTAAAGGGGTGGATGAAATTCTAAGGTTTTCGTCATTTTCAGGAAGAGCGAGTCGACTGTCAGTTGGACATACGTGTCGCATTTAAATTGGCTTCTGCCAGTGGGGAGAGGGAGCCAATGCGCGCCGAGGCCGGCGTTGAATGATTGACAGACAAACTATTTCCGCGCGCGTTTCATTCGTTAGGCATTTGAATTGTTAACAGCTCATTTCTTTCTAAACGAAAAATGTAAGTGCGACGGACAGTGGACTCCCGCATGTACTACAACCCGTCACTCTACACATGTTCTACCGGGGGACGAGCTCCAAGGTGGCACCTAAGGCTTTTCGCCTGCATCCGCCCTCCCCGCCGGCCCACAAGTGCGCCGACAGTCTGGCATCTGGATGCCGCCGGAAACCTCCCCACCCAACGCCTGCGTGGGCCGCCCTGCCAGCTCAGGGCTACCGCCTTTCCAGGCTACTGTCGAAGCCGAATCAATGAGCCACTCACATGCGCCAGGAACAAGTCCCTCCTCTTTGCCCAGAGTATCGGGCCGCTGCCACGACGAACGCCAAGAGCCCAACAGGGAACAAGCCTCACCGAGGTGGTCAGGGACACCAAAACAATAGCGAGTCGGCTGTCGCGCCCAAACTGGGCTCTGCGATTGAAGGGATGAGGCCAACGCGCGCCAAACGATCCGAGGACGACGCTGTTTGGGCAGAGGCGTCGAGGCGATCTGTAGCAGCGCGCGATGAAGTGATGCAATCGTTACGCAGATGAATAGTCAACTTTCGCCGCGAAAGCACGAACATATTTGTGTGTTTCTAAGTATGAGTGAGTATATTGCAACGCCCCAATCCAGTGTTTCTCTAATTTGTGAACAGGAGGCTAATTTTAATATATACTTCCTGCTCCCTCAAAGTACTGTTATCTTTATAGAAGTAAATTTATCCTTTACACCCATTTAGCATTGTGTTTACTCGCAGGTCAAAAGTGTAAATAAAATATACCAAATATGTTTGATAATTCAATATAGTTACTTAATTACTAATAAAAAAGTTTTCTAAAATACCATAACTAGATCTTTCATTAATTTACATGTAATTTGTACTAATTTTCCAGAAAATGCGAGGTTTTGCCATATTTTTCTTATTATTTCACTACAAATTCAAGAATTGTTATTATAACAATTTTAAATTAAACATTCACTATAAATCTATATGAATGAAATCCGAGTCTGTCTGTGATTTCCAAATATATGCATATTTATAGCCTCGTAAACATCCTGAACTTTCTTATTTAGATTTAATAATCAATTCAATGTTTTTTTCTGATTTTTGTCTGTGTGTTTATTGGGGGTGATGTTTCCAATGGCTGAGATTTCTCTGCGAAAAACACTAAGTTTTATGTCGGGACTAGTTAGTGTACGGCACTTTCACGTACTCTACATTCGTAGTATAGTCAGTTAAAAATATTTGAATTAAAGCCAACAAAGAAAAATGTACTGATAAAAAAGACGCAAAACTGATTCTCTAAAGTTTTTAAAATTGAAAAAGTATTCAATTTTTTCGTGCGCTCCTAACAACTACAATACTGAAGAAATATATTTTTATGAATATAATCTGTAATCTTCAAAATTCAATTTTTAAACTCGTTGAATCTTTCGCAATTTGAGTAGCTTTTACACCATTTTTACTTTCTTCGTAAGAAGAGAAAGTATTGAAATTGTACGCCAAAAAACGGAAAATTTTCGACAGAAAAAATGTTGCCGAGCCCTGGCAACGAAAAAGTGGGTAAATGTGGTTCCAAAATATAGTCAACCCCTTAATACGATAATGTTTCAGGAAATATCGGAAAATATTTTCCAGTCTTTTTAGGCCGTTTGTATACCAGTTTAATACTTTATTTACCTTTAGTATAATTGCTATTATTTATTACTGATGTAAATATAATATCTTAGTCCTATCAAATGGTAAAAATAAGAGAAAAGTTTGGTGTAGTTTTGATATTTAGTTTCTGTTTTTTTTTTGGCTCGCTGAACACTAAAATTAAGCTTCACAACAAACATTTTGCTCTGAAATAGTTTCTTACGCAAAAATTACGCATTTTATCAAATTTATAAAAATAACTAAAAATCCATTCATTTATCATAATTCGTGGTCATACATGAAATAAGAGAAGATAAAATTACCTACATTTATTGACATTAAGATGTTTTCTCCAATGAACGGTTTAGCTGTGAGAGTACAGCAAAATTTGATGATATAACCGAAACATGAAAATGGGAATTTTCCCACTTTATCTCAATATAACTTAAAACTAAAATTTTTCAAAGTATTATCCTGATATGAAATGAAAAATGATAAAATTTTCTGCAACTGCAAAAGTCTTCAATAGAACTAAGCTTCATTTTGAGAGAATTTTTGTTAATTTTAGTTGAAAAGTCTGCTTTAGCTATATTTTTTATGTCTGATATTAGAGGATAATAATCATCGATTTCGTGAACATTAATGGGAGGGATTTTTACTTGCACTGATACTAATTGTCGGTGCTCCATTTGTCTCCACTTTTAGTATTTTCTAACAACTTATAGCTAGAAGACACTGGAATACTATAACTGAATGCACTGTACTATTTACGGGAGGGTTTGCGCGTCTTATTGTCCGATTGGCTCTCGGCGTTTAGATCACTTACTTGTGGATTTTGCGAGATAGAAGAATGGAAGCACATACGCCACTTTGCTGGTCTCCTTGTGCGGTAACTGTAGGCTCCGGGTGAGATATCATAGGAGGCTGCTCAAGAAGCTGTCGAAGCACTTCCATTAGCTGCGGTGACTGCTGCTGAGCTTGTCCTTGATGCACTTGGGATTACAACTGTTGAAGTTGGGGTTGTAGATGAGCTTGCATGTTAATACCTGTCTGGGTGTTCACATGATCACTTTCCGTGTCTGCTTTGTTTACGTTGTCTTTGGCACTTGTAATAAGTTGCCCCGTTAAGGTGCTTGAGATGACTGACATTCACAATACCTCGGCACTTACACGACCCAAGAAAAGTCAGTAAACTGTTTTAAGAATTAACCTTAGCTCGGTTGGGGCTCTGTATTCGCCGATCACCACCTCAGCGCTAGTCTCGCTTCGCCTCCCCTCAGGCGAAGTAGCGCTGCCGCGTAGCGGGGCGTGCGAACGCCGCCACTGCTGGGCCGAGACTGCATATAATGAGGCGTGCCCTTCTTCTTGTGTGGATTTTAACAAATGAGCCACAATGTGATGTAATGTAGAATAAGAGATGAGGAATGCGCGAAACGATAGTGTAAGGAATGTTTTTCTTGGACGGTATCGGTATTCGTCAAACATCTTTTAAAAATAAGCACTACTTCAGTGTTCTCCCCCTCCCTTCGTCTTTCACTGCAAGTCGCCAATGGCAAGGGAAGGAAGGCAGAGTAGAACTTGCTCTTATAACCTAATTTTTGGTGAAAAATTTGGAGTCGGTTTTTGAGAAAATATCTTTGAGAGTATTAGAAAATGAGCAATTCTGGCCTATTATCATAGAAAACTTTTGAGTGTTTGAAAAATTTCAATGGAAATCATTTGAAGCACTTCCACTAACAAATGAAATCATGTCTAATAAGAACGTCTGTAAATAAATATTAACAAAAGATGTATTTACTAACACATTGGCGTAATTTTGATAAAGTTTTTGAGAGACTTGTACTCATAAATGCAATAATCTGTACAAATCGCCGGTAATGTAAATATGAACGACAACGTGAGAGATTTAAAAAAATACATTAGAGTAATTTGTGAAGAAAAATACAGTAAAACGGCGTTTATATCTTCTTTTTCAGTGCATTTAGCACTATTAGTACAAAAGGTTTGAATAAAAACATATTGCAGTTTATGATAATTATTTTTTCAATTTTTTAAAAATATTATCCTTATTTCACAAAATATTACACAAAAATTATTTTTTAAATGTACAAAAAATTACAAATTAATGAAATTTACATTTAAATTTAAATTGTGGAGAACAAATTTAATTTGAAAAGGAAAGCTTTCTTCAATATTGCACTTTTAGAAAGACGCCGACAAAATGCAAACATTTGTAACTGTTGAAAATTCAAGGATAACATGGAAAATTGGACTTACGCCATCATAATAAGTGTATTCCACTCAGGCCGGTATAATGGTACAATTTTCGTGCAGAATATGATACGGTTTCTGCACAGAAACGTGAAGATTCCAAACCAGAAGAATAGAAGCTAGACGTAGCACATACACGGTCTGCACGTTTTCTGTATGAATCACCACAGACGCCGCTAGGGGGGGGGGGGAGCGTCTATCGGGAAATAATTGAATTGCGCCGTCCGACTACTTTCAGTGGCGGTATTTCTGTGCAACAGTTCTGTATTCTTTATTAAGTATTAATTAACCATGAGGAGTATAGGGAAGGAAAAATAAGAATGCGGGAATTGGGATAGAGGAAATTTATCACAATATCACTTCACACAATCGCACATTGATACACCTAACCATAAAATCGAAACGGCTGATTGCTGTCGCGTCATGTAAACAAATTCATTAGTAAATGATACTGCCAGTGAAGGCTCTTGAGTCGAACTGTACGCTTTCTGCATGAAAAATTACGAACCTGCAGCAAGTGCATTACGAGTATGCTCGAAAGTTTTCATGCAGAAATCCTGTAGCGTGGACTGCTCGTTTTCTGAATGTCCAATCTGCACGAAAACTTTACAGCGTATCTCGATTATTCTGTCCGCTAAGGTCATAATTGGTATACGTCTTGAAGACTATTATAGATAAGTAAAACCTCGTCAAATGTGCATACGTTCATTTAAAACATTACAGCAATTTTTGACAAAATATTGTTGGAGTGATTTAGAAAATTTTGTGCTATTTTTCACATACTTTTAACACATTTTCACAGAAAAGATTTTATTTTTAAAAATGTTTCAAAAATACATCATTTGAAGTAGGCGTGCATTAGCCAATGCAACAATGAGTAAAAATCGCCTCTAATGCAAATATTATCGAATTGAGAGATGCATCAAAAAATTAAGTCTGTTTAATTTTGGAAAAAATAAAAAAGATGGCGATAGAATAAGGTTTGTGCAATTTTTATGTATCATAGCAACACGGAAGTATTTCTGTCGAAAAATCATCGCGTTTTGCCGCAGAAATACATACATTTCTCTATATTATGTATATCACTCCGAATATAAGTAGGTTTACGAGACAAAAAAATCATTCCTGAATTACTGAATCGCGCGCAGTTTTGGTTCGTCCCAAAGTCGCTGCCCAATCAACGTCGCCCTCGGAGGCTTCGCGAAGCGTTGGCTGCCTCAACCAACAGCGACTGGTTATTGTTTTTGTTTCCCTTATATCAAATCAGCTGTTAACAATTCAAATGCGTAATTATTGAATTACTCAATTGCCTGATTGTTTTCGTGCCTCTGGTACTTATATCTTTCTTTTAAATAAGAAATCAACTCTCTGTCGATGAGTAACTTTATATATTCTTTTTTTCACATGTTCACCTATGCGATTGACACGTTGTGCTTCTATAATGGACCAGCTGCCTGGTAATAATGAGATTACTATAAGGTATATAGTACTATGTTCTCTCAAATTCAGTCGTTCACAAATCAGTAACAGTTTCTAATGAGAAAAGTCCTCAGCGATGGAGCAGAAGTTCCGAGCCGAAACAAATATGGAGGGAAAATACTTGGCCCATCACTGAACCTCTTTCCTTTGGGACCTGAATGTTGAATGCCGCCTTGGGTGGCTCGAGGCATCGCTTGATGTTCCTGCGGCGCCTCTGACTAGGAGGCCCTAGGGCTCGAGCCCCGCCCTTGGCACAATTTCCCAAAGTAGCTAGAGAGCTAGGTCGAATGCACTCGCTGTGTAGAAGAGAATTATAGCGGCTGGCTGCTCTGACAGGTAGTTTTCCGTGGTTTCTTCAATAAACGCCAGGCGAATGCTGCATCAGTACCCTAACAAATTGGCACCAAACCGCGAGTGATCTTTCTTGCCTATCCTGACTCTTTACTTACATACACACACTCACGTGCATTACACAACACGCATGCCGGGAGATCGGTTAGGAGCTTAGAGCTTGTCAACGACTCGGGTGGAAGATACTTGGTTGGGAGAAAAGACGAAAGGCGTTGCCGGATCTCGCCGTCCAGCTACGGAGTGTCTCAGCCACCTTCCGCGGTAGAGAACACACTTACGGGACTAATGCCCGTGGCAGTTGACGCTCATGGAAGCGCTTATTAATCAATCAGACTGTTGTAAGACGCTCGCTTTTTGCTGCCCACAGGGCCTGGAGGACATGCTGCAGAAGCTGCGAGTGGAGCACTCCTTGTGGAACCCCGTCAAGGGCGGAACCTTCTTCCAGGTGAGCGATGTTCGTGTGGAGTCGCATTTCCACCCGCACCCGGCACTCGCCTCCGCGTGCGCGCCACGAATCCCAAAGACAGAGATCTTGGTTTCTAATGTAACTCCTTGCAGAATAACTCCTTCGCACTTCGACTGTCATTCTGCTCTGAATATTTTATCCTTCATTGTTTCTCTTCAGTTATATATTAGTAGTACGTTCAGCTGCTGCGAAAAAATCAACATTCACAAAACAGGCGAGAATGAGTTGACTGCAGTGAATGGCGCATTGCATACGATTAGCTTTACAAAGTAGGAGGCCTATGATTAATCAAAATATACAGTCGCATGAATAAATGTTGTTTATAAAAGTAGGGGATAGAAATTTCATTGCGACTTGTTTACGTGATAGTTACATTACGTACTTAGGTACATCTGTTTTAATTAGTTGAAAGAATTGAAATTTCGATGTTGTCAATTGACACACAATTGAAAACTGCTTTAGAGCAACGTTAAAAGTTTCGCAAGTGAGCAGGCGCGGGCGTTGGCCTTGAGCGCGCCATCCACTTAGCGTGGCTGAGCGAAGTTGGCCACCCTGCGAGGGGGGGCAGTTCTCGCGCGGCCGTGGGCGGCGCCCCGGGCGGTTGGCTTTTCACTTTCCAATTTTCCTTCACAAACAGAACAATAACGGACTGGAATAAGTTGCTTCCGACATCCTTTAAACCCTTTCCAAGTTTTGACAAATTTAAAAGTAAATTAATTATAAACTTAATCAATTAGTAAATTACGCTTATTAAACATTTTTTTATTATTGTTATTTATATTAAATGCATTGCTTCATTAAATACACAATGTAACCATTTTCAATGTTATATTTGTAATGAAGTCTGCTATCCTGTTGTAAAGTGTAATGCAATAATAAAAAAGAAAGAGAAGTGGAGAGCAAGAGTTGTGAAGTGGAGTGCAGTGAAGTTAAAAGGTCATGCATATATTAGTTTAAAATATCCGTATAGAATAGCCGTAAAATAAAGTGTTAATGTTATTATTGTTGATAATATTATCTTAAAATAATTTAATGATATAATGCATTAATATTTTTAACTGTAATGTTTCAAAATTATGGTTTTCTACCACCTATTTGCGTAAACTTATCTTCAGAAATAATATCTATTTACCTATCTAGCATAGAGTGGGGACTGTCCACGGCAACAGCCATTTTCTAGGTTCTCCTTCAAGAACACCGTTAGCTGGCAGAAGTTGGAATAATCCGTCGCTAAAGTGCCAAATACATTGATATAAAAAACCCTTTCCCATACCCACACAGCAATCCTTATGAGCTAATTTTTATATTAATAGGACAAGTTTATTTCGTTCTGATAGAACATTCTTGTCACCTTAATAAGCTCTCACTGCGTAGTTTCCGACCGTGCCTTCATTTTCCCTTCTTTCATAATTATTACTTCTTCCAATTCCAAGTTCTCTCACTTACTCTCCCTCTTATCTTTGTCTTCCATCACCCCCCTACCCGTTCTCCTTCACTTCGGATTTTCGACGCCACTTCAGGTCTCACACCGTATCTTTATTGCTGGAATTAGTAACATGTCCAAGAAAGCCTTCTATTCGAATAAATCGAGATTTTAGAACTTCGTAATTTACCTTCGTCGAAATGTTCTCCAAAGCGCCCACGTCGTTTCTTCAATGAAAGTACACTTAGTTAAGCCATATTGTAAAAGATATACATTTTCTAATGTCTAAATTGAAACACTCGTCACAAATAATACATTCTCATTTTAAATGAACTTTCAGCGCACAAGTGGTGCATAATTAGATTGTTATGTAATTTTCCTCAAAGAGAATGTGCTACTGCGCGGCAATTTCAAGTCAAATTATCGTGTTTGTTTTTGTTTGTTCTTGACGATTTATGTTGTAGATTTACATTATCTTTACGATTTGTCGAATCGTTTAACATGTTTCTCAGTATCACCAAGGAATACGTATTTCTCCCAATACATACAGTCTCTCACTTAATATTCGGTTAACCTTAATATTTTGTAATTTATCCGACTTAGTTTACTAAAAGGATATTGAAATGCGAAAAGTAAGACCAAGCACTGTGTAACTCTAGGTAAAATATTTTATCACATTTAATGTTTAGAGCGCGAAAGAAAATGTCTATGTTCGCAAGTTGGCTCATATGTCCATAAAGGCTTCCACTTTAAATTATTTGGTCTGTATAGGGAAATAATTAGTTGTTAGGTTTCTATTTTGTGCTGAAAGAGTTAATAGGCGCTGCGGCTACATCACTTAACATTCTAGTCTTAAAGAGTTCTTTTCACTTTCCCCTGTGCGGTGAAAGTAGTACAGTGAGCTAAAAAGGACGAACACTTCATTTGACCACCGATGCCTTGTAGTGCTGAATCATGAAAAGGGCTCTTTTACAATAGAAATTATCGAATTGCTCAATCTGCCACAAAGTAGAGTCCTCAACATCATGTCTCAAAAGGCACGTCCACAGAGTCAGCCTTGCTACAGAAGAGAGAGATGCCTAATTCAGGAAATTGACGAAGAATCATCGATTAAGTGCGCCGAAAATTTCTTCCGGGTTGTTAGAAGAATATGGAAAGAAAGTGCTCCCCGAAAAAGTGAGGAAAGGATTAGCAAACAAATAGTTCAATGGAAGAGTGGCAAGGAAAAAGCCACTTATAAGCGAGGTCAATATAAAGAAAAGGATGGAATTCGAAAAGCAGTTTGTGGATCAGAAATAAGAGTAATAGTCAGATGTTATTTGCGTTGACGAGAGCAAATTTATCTTGTGGCAATCAGGTGTTAGAACTAGGGGTCTGGCGCAGGTCAACGAAGACTTCAAGAAAAAAAAACATGCTGCAGAATTTAGTACGGGGGATGCAGTTTCGTGGTGCGGGTGAGCAAATGGTTGTCTGAAATGGCGGAATTGCGGTTTGTAGAAGAAATGTTGACGAAGGAAGATTATCTCCGCATTCTCAAGGAATGTTTGCACTAATGTGTGAATACTCTCGGAATTGAGGGTACACTTGAATTTCATCAAGGCAATGTTCAAAGCATAAAGCCCACATTGTTCGCAGCTGGCTTCTCGACATCTGCCTCCAAGTAGGAATGATACATCGATGTCGATGTTTTAAACATCGATAAATTGAATCCGATTTTTTTTAAACATCGATGTTTGTGCTCGATGTTTTTACCTCTCACGTTTTATTTATGGATGAAGAATTACCATAACCACAATTTTGTAAAATTTAAAATATGAAATACTAAATGACGAAATTTGCACTACCTTCATCGATCAGATGATCCATCGCTCGAGATGATCCTGAAGACCTGAATTTTTTTACGTTATAACTTTATTTTTGAGTTAAATTTTAATTATACAAATATACACAGCCACTGTCAAATTACATTTCGTTGAGCACGAATTGAATGTTTGAGATTACTAAACCAACTTTAAAACATCGATGTTTAAAAACATCGAGGTTTTTTCGTCGAAGTTTTATTAACATCGATGTTTTAATTTTGAACATCAATGTTTTGTTGCCGTTGTCGCATTTCTAGCCCTCCCCAATCTTCGAAACACCTCCACAGTCTCCAAACTTTAACTCAATCGAATATTCTGCTCCGAGCTCTGCCACCGCGCAGAGAATACGACCTTCAACTTAAAGGTCAGTCGAGTGAAGGTAAGTCGGGGGATAATTTCGCGATCAACGGTGACACGACCAGTCATCCAGTACTCCGGAAGCATGTGGCCCGCGTGGACATGTTACAATTCTTTTCAATCATTTTGTTTTTTAACTCTATTCTCTAAATGATTTAGTAATTCGGATAACACATTAGTATATATTCACTAATTATCGAATTCTACAATCTATAATATATAAATTTAATTTTAATGTTTATACATTTATATTTAAATTAAAAAAATACTTTTTACGTAATCACCGCAATTATTAATGATCACACGTCTTGTCACTGCTACAAAGGTATAGGGAAAATTAATGCAAGTTTCTTACAAAACAAGTGTCGACATTCGTAAGAGCCAAGTATTTTTCTTTTTGTGAGGCACGTTCCATTTTTTTCATACGAATGTTTACTGTTAAAATAAGTGGAGTAAGACAGAGGTCTTTGCAGGTGATCTTCCCAACCGCTTCCGGAGACCAGTGCGAGAATTGCCTGCACTGCCTCTCGCAGCTCGGGGTCGGCAAGAAATTCAGCTCCACCGTCAGGTAAGATCTGCCACGAGGACGCGCTTTGCGAATTTTACGAGATAGTTTTGAGACGTAATGCCAAATGCCATGTATCACACGTACATAAACACATCTACAGGATTGCCAGAGCCAATGGAACGTAGCGTGCTACGAGAGAAAATAGCAACGTAGCCTAGCGACGTGAAGTGGTAATGTTGACAATAACGAAGTATAGTAGGTACATAACCGTTTGCATGCGGTAGTACATAGTTGTTACATTGCTTAGGGGAGTTGTAACACAGTTTATGTCGCTGCTGTCAACGGGTATTCTACGTTCAGTATTCCGAATTGTGTTGACTTATGCTGTGTTCATGCGTTTTCTCTCATAAATTAAGTCAATACAAAGCAGATGTTTTTTATTTATTTTTCCTCCACTCCAAGTTTTGTTCGTATTAACCGAAATTTCGGATTTGCGGGAACCCCGGGATTAACGGGCTTCTACTGTAAAAACAAAAGAAATAGTATGTTCTTTCATCTGACATCCTTCTTGAAACATTTTTGTTCACAGTGTTGCTCCTTGCAATGTTTATTTGAAAGGAGTTGCGGGCGATCCAGAAGTACGCACAGAAGATGAAGACGAGTGAGTATTCGCGTGATATTTTTTTATTTTGTCAGTCACAAGCAACTTTAATCCCTGTTAACACGCAACCCTACAGATTTGTGGAGCGTACTTATACCTACGTTTCTGTCAAGAAATTTGACATCCTTAGCAATGGGGTTTAAAATCCTTAGCTACGTAAATAAACAACCATCAATTCTTCGCAAGTCAAATGTTTTTTATGAAAAAATATGGTGATGTACAAAACAATTCAGAATAAAAGTAATTCATATTTGTTTTTGGGATAATTATTGTTAATTATAATATTAATTGTACAACTAAAATATATAATAGATAAATTAATCTCATTTTCCTGGCATTCCACCGAATGAAACTTCTCTGGTAATTATATTTACGGACGATCGGCAGGAGTTGTCACTGGAAGTTTAAGTTGAATCGAGAATTTTTGAGAAAACGAAAATCGAAGAAAAGGTCCCGTAGTGGCCAGAGTTACTAGCATTTTTGAGTATATCAGAGAATAGCTGCACGGCGAATGCCACGATTCAACTCAATAGTAGCCACTTGAAAATTGCAATATTTTTGGTAGTGGTTAGAGGAGACCAGTGCAGATACATATCTGTTCACGTTCCCATTTTGCAATGCCAGTATTAATAAGTTGTATGTACTGGCTTGGGGAGCCTAGGGCATCAATTGATGTCACTGCAGTGCTCGTGACCGGATGCTACATTGCAAGAGCGAATTCAGCCGCTGTCTGGAGGAGAATTCTGCTCCTCTGATCGCTAGTTTTGCGTCGCTTCTCCTATCAACACCGGTGCGTGCCGGAGCAGAACCCTAACCAACAGGCCTCGGTCCGCGCCCGATTTTTCCTTCCTCTTTCTTGTTTTATCCTCACCCCTTATTTAAACACACACTTACGCTTGCATGTACTACACTATCAGACGTGTCAGGAGCTTAGAGCTTCTCGTGACTGGGGGCGGTGCCCACCTGTGGGAGATACCTGGTTGGGGAAAATCCGCGCGAGCTGACGTAGGTCGGCGCCGAATCTCGTTTTCCACCGACGGGAAGATCACCGCCGCTTCCCGAAAGAAAAAAAGTTAAAATGCTAAAACATACACTACGCTGACGGCCGCTGACGAGTGTCTGCTGAATGAATGTGTGCGCAGGTCGGAGGCGGCGAAGCGCTGGGCCAACTTCGTGGAGAGCATCCGCTCCAAGCTGACGGTGAAGCAGGTGGTGGACGGCGTGCGCTCGGGCTCCGAGTGCTCCTTCGACTACATCGCGCTCGTCCTCACGGCAGAGTGCGTCCCGTCCCCCGCGCCGGCGCAGCTAAACATTAAACACGAACATCTTTCTTTGTCTGTATCTTCTATATCAGGGAATTCTACAAAACCTCTCCGCAACCATCCAAGCGATATTAAAGTTATTTGAATCTTGTTCACTAAATAGTATTAAGCACTCTTGCATGAAAACTACCACAGTTTGACTGGAAAGTGTAACTTTGTCGTACAAAGTCGTGGCGATGTAAAACAATTGAGAACTGCAGAGTAAATAAAACACTGGGGTGACATGAATCAATATGGCTCGCGGTTTCCATATTGAGCATGATCCCAATATTAAACACTTGTGAGTTTCCATGGATTCGTGCTAAAACGTGGTACTCAATTTTTTACATGTCGGATGAAAAGTACTCTTAGCGTAGCCTCGTCCGTCAACTATCATTCACACGTTAAAGTCTCCCTTTCTGTACTAGTTTCGAAAATAACACAGCCACGCAGAAAAAATATGTTCGTCCATTTAACTTCACCATATAAGATTTTCTAATTCAGATCAATATTATAATTGATAGAGAAGGTGACATTGGTCCCTGATGGGACAACACTCATTGCGATGTTGTATGTCGTTGGTGCCTTCTTTCCAAACAGATACAGTCTTTTTCATTTTTTTTGAGGTTATGTGAAAAATATTATGTGATCAAGTTAAATGAACTTCAGATCCTTTTTCAGCGACCTCAAAAACATATAGATAATATAGTCTGATCCCTCGCATAGAAATATCTTTCATTTTATATATTTTTTGAGGATATGTCAAAAACCTGATGTAATGGAATAAAATAAACACCGTATTCGTATTTAGTGATCCCAGAAATATATAGAAAACATAGTCTGATCTCCAGACATGAACATGTCTTTTTAATGTGGCTGAGTAACTAATTCCGACTGAAACATTTTGTTCTCAACTTTTGTAACATTAATGTATCATGAATAATTAGATTTTTCAGAGGTTTGTATTATAGAAATAAGTGAATCCATCGTCTGTCTACAGCATGATCGCTGCCGTAGGACTCGTTGAGAACAACTCAATCAACATCACGGCAGCCATGTTAGTGTCGCCCCTCATGGTGAGTCTTCCTTGAGCATCTTTTATTTCAAAATATTACCTACACTGATTCTAAAAAGTAGAAAATCAAACAAAAAAAGTTTTAATACAAGACAAGTAATTAGAGGAGTAGGAATATCCATCAGAACTTTCTGCAACAAGTAGACAAATAGCTGCGTTTACAAATGCTTCTTTGCTGCCAACTCTGCTCTACTGAGATATTTTCTACTGTCTGGTTTGCTGCTCTTCAGTCAATTAATTATGAATATTGCCGGATAGAAAATATACTTTGTTACGATAAAAATGGCGAAACATACAAACTTATTTATTGTTGCATTTCGGTTCGGATTTCATCATCTTCACTTGAATTCGAAGTGCGACAACCGACTGAAGTGGTTCACGACAACAGGTGTTTCCACTGCAGCGGTTCTGACCGGGAGGTACTAGGCTTCAAGTCCCGGCGGTGGCGGATTATAGACACCAGCTAGACAGCTATGATTTGGAGGAGAAGGCTAGAGTTCGGCTGCTCTGATGGGTGGTTTTCCGTGGTTTCTCTGATCAGCACTAGGTGAATGCCGGAGCAGTGCCCTAACAAACGGGCCACAGACCCCGCATGATCTTTCCTTTCGCTTCCTTGCCCCATCCTCACTCCTTACTTACACACTTACATGCACTACACAAACACACATGCCGAGAGGCCAATCGGGAGCTTAGAGTTTGTCCCGGCTGTGGCGTTGCCCTGTTTGGGAGGGGGGGAGGGGGAATCCACCAGACGACAGATCTCACGCGCAGCTAACGAGAAACACGGGCACATCCCGGAACATTCGTCCACTACACTTGAAGAACTAATGACCAAATTAAACTACGCGCCTGAGAACACGAAATACTCACTCCCATTTCCTTCGATGCATTTAAATCGCCCACCCCCATTGGTATTGATCTTTCTCCGCTGGATACCGACATCTGGCGATGCCCTACACGTCGGCTTGTAGGGTAAGATTCATTCCTGCTCGTAATAAAGTGACTAGTAAAAATCTCAGCATGATTAATTAATTAGTGATTCTGGACGCATCAACGACTAAAAGTATTAGTCCTGTAAGTGTAGTTCATCTTTATCGTGCAAGATGGCAGTGTTCTCCAGATGTGTGTCGTAGTGTAGTGGATGTAAGTGTGTGTAAGGGGTGAGAATAGGACAAGGAAATGTCTCGCGCAGTCCGTGGCTCGTTTGTTAAGGTTCAGTTCCTGAATTCGCCTAGTGTTGATCGGAGAAACCACGGAAAACTACGGATCAGAGCAGCCGGCCGCTAGAATTCTTCTCCAGACAGCAGCTGAATTTGACATAACTGTCTAGCTCGAGTTGAAAATCTTGTCATCAGCGGTGAGAAAAAATGCATTGCCATCAATTGAAGCCATAAGGCCAGAGGCGAACACAGAATACCAGAAGCCTGGGTCACTTTATCCTCGGGGGTTCCTCATTACATACAAAAAAGTCCCTCTTCCTCAAATTCATAACCAGAATTCATTACGCTATACGTCAGTATTACTTTGAATGAAGAATATCGGGGCTCCAATGAAGTTTGCCCCCCCCCCTGCACGAGCCTTTGGTGCCGGTGGCGCATTGGTTGGGCGTGGGGTTGCGTTGGCAGTCGCCGCTGATGGGCGTGACGTTCGGCGTGCTGATCGCCAACTGGAAGCTGGTGCGCATCGGCGCTCGCACGGAGGCCGTGGGCATGCTCATCTCGCTGCTGTTCGGCTTCGTGTTCGGGCTGCTGGTGGGGGCGGCGTGCAACGACATGCCCTGGGGCGGGGGCGTGGGCGACTTCCCCACGGGCGAAATGAAGGGCCGAGGCAACTTCCGGTCGCTGTGGATCGGCATCCTGTGGGCGCTGCCGTCGGGCACCGGCGTGGCGCTGGCGCTGCTGCAGGGCAGCGCGGGCCCGCTCATCGGCGTCGCCATCTCCGCCTCGCTGCTGCCGCCCATCGTCAACTGCGTGCGTACACACACACAGGCACCCCTGCGCTGGCGTGTACCCCACGGCATGTACAAATTTAGTCCCTCTGCTCTCTTCAAGATAGTACATGCCGTATGAACATTTAACATAATCATAGCTGAATTTTTATCCTTAAGAAAATAGGATTATCGCATACACCAAATATATTTTCGTTAAGCGTTAATTGTAATGAACTTTCTTGAACGATAATTCAATATAATATGATCAAATATAATCTACTCTGTTATATGCACATAAAACTACAGGAAGGTATAAACAGTTAACAAATGTCTATTCGAACTTGATACAATTCAGAGTTCCTCGTTGACAAAAACCCCGTTAGCGGACATATAGGTCCGTACCGAATCTCGCAAGCCAGCGGGGGAAAACCTCCCCATCTAGCGAACGGATACATGCATTACACTTACGGCACTTATGAACTTAACAGTTGACGCGTCCGGAATCACGAATCGATCGATCATTCAAAATGTGCCATCTTACGTGCATGTGCTAAAGCGATTGGCTTTCAAAATAAATATAATACATCCCAAGTTGGTTAAAGGTTGTAATTAAAGAAACCGGTTATTGCATATTTGGTGTAAAGCACTGTTGTATTTATTGCAGAATATTGCATTCACGAAGAATGCATTCACGATGAATGCAATGTGCTTCGTATAATATAACGTTTTATTGTGTAAGTACAATTACTTCACTGTGAATGTGATTGAATAACTATAACTGTGGTTTATGTGAAAAAATACAATAAACTGTTTTTTTATAACAGCCTTTAGTCAACTTGAGATCTATTACATTTATTTTGAGTATTTAACTCTTGAAATTAAAACCAAATGGTTAACTAAACATATAAAATTCCCCAATCAGGGCAGTGTATCTTAACAAAATTATCGTCTTTTCTATTCGACGTTTCTTACCGTCCTTCCCTGCTGGCCAATAATAAGCTGTAACACAACTATCTTTGGAGGCGGAATGTATCGACAGCTGTGTCGATGTGCAATTAATCGCGTATGTACTATAATATAACCTTTTTTTAATTTAACATGCTTTCGGTTATTTTCAAAATTTGGCGTTTTGTTACTCTGTTGGACGTAATTTCATTCGTAGAGTAGTCATATTAAATACCACTCGCACTTTGGAAATTATCAGATAAATCCCCCTCTCGTTTCGCGAGTTCGGGATGTATCAACAATTTTCAAGGCACTCGTGGTATTGCCTGTGATGAACCAGCGGAGAGTTCGCAAACGCCGAGCGGTGGTGGGTGCGCAGGGCATCATGTGGGGGCTGGCGTGCATCTACTGCGCGCACGAGGGGATGAAGTTCCCCTACATCAGCGGAGAGGACTACAGCGCCGACAACTTCACGTCCGAGAAGTACGAGGCCATCTACTACGACGACTGGATGCCCAAGGAGCTGGCCTGCATGGGCATCGTCAGCTTCTGCCTCACGCTCATCAACTTCATCTGCATCTTCATCACCGCCGTCATCGTGCTCAAGGTACATGCCAGTGAAAGAGAATTAACTGACGAGTAATCCACATCAATACTACAAAAAGTACTGTATGAATAGATATAATTTTTACAGGCTCTTCTTCACAATTGTTGCACAGCCTTCGCAATTTGGTAAAGATTAATACAAGATAAATGCAAAAAATGAAAATAATATTTTGGTATGTGAACCACAATCATTATTTTTCACCTGTCACTAAAAGTAGGTTGATTCCTAATACATTCTGCCAGAGGCCAGTAGCGGTTCGGCAGAACACGTACCTAATAGGTTAGGTGGAGGTCGGTAGAAGTGCGCAGGATGGACAATTTTACTCTATAGCAACGTATTGAAAAAATAGAATTTTATTAAAAATTGAACCAATTAGATTTAAAATAATAAAGACCGTATTTTATATTTTTTTAAATTTCACAAGACTGGGATAGAAAGAAAGATTGGACAACACTTGGGTATTTTGATAGTCGCAGAATAAATGTAACAAACAGCAATGCCAAGATGATCACTTCTTGCCAATACAATATGATATTAAAATTTCGGATAACAATGTTAATCACTTGACATATGCCCCATTTGTATGAAACTCATCATTGGTGTTTGCGGACTAAACTAAAGATCTTTAACTACAGCACAATGTGACATTGGAAATACCGATGCAGGATAACTTGGCCAGCAATCAGGAAGAAATGTAACTGGTGCAACATTGCTACTGGTCCAAAAGACACAAGAACCTTTGAAATTTAGAAAATTTCGGAAATCATAATTGTTTAGACCCTGTCCTAGAACTACGGCGGTGAAGATAGTTACGAAGCTTTAATTTTACGTTTATGGAGTAATTCAGGAAGAGAATAGAGAAAGGTGTATAATGCTGCAGAGAAAATTTCCATTTATTTGAAAGAAAAAGATCCCTTTTGTGGCTCCTTCGTTTCTAAAAAAAGGACCGACGTATATGTAGTAAATTAGTTTATGTACTACAATACCGTTGTCAGAATCGACGTAGTGGGGTAGTTTAATATCAAAAAAGAGAGTTTCTAAACGTCCATCCATTCGTCTGCGAACAAAACTAGTGCTAAAACTATTCGTAGGACATTTTTCAAAATGAATATTCTTCAATCGATCTGATCTGACATGGAGCCTTAAGATTTTGGAAAATAGTTTTTTAAATTTTGGTGTACTAATATGAAGACAATCTTCTTAACGATTTTTTTGTATTGTGTTCAATCCTGCAAACTGCTTGGCGATACATTTATTTGCTATCAAGAAAATTGATATAACAAATAATTTTTCAAAATTTATAAATGCAAAACGTGGGCATGTCTCATGTGCACCCGGACGTTTAAACAAGAATTAAAGAGACTTCGAGACATACCAAAATACAAATGTTAATATTTGAACTATTTATTTGTAAAAAACCAAAATTAATGATTTGTCCCGTTTCCTGGCGCCCTGCCTGAGGCGTGTGTGTGTGTGTGTGTGTGTGTGTAGATCAAGGAGGTGGCGGCGCCGTACGTGTCGCCGCCGGAGCTGCTGCGCTTCTGGGAGCACGACATCCAGCGCGAGCGCCAGCACAACCGCTCCACGCTGCGCCTGCGCAGCAGCCGGCGCAGCCGCCGCGGCCCCGGCCAGGGCCCCAGCCCCGCCCACGCGTCCGGCCGCCCGTCGCGCGCAGACGCAGAGTGCGTAGCCTCCACACCCCACCCCTTCCTCACGCGCCGGGAGAGCGGTCGGAGCTTAGAGCTCGTCCCGCTGGTGGGAGATACCACGGGGTTAGGGGAAAACCACGCCAGGCGACGGTAGATCGGCCAGCCCCGCAATAAAATATGAACTACACTTACAGGTCTAATGGAATTAGCAGTTGGTGCGCCCGAAACCTCTAATCAATCAATCAACCACACCCTTTGAAGTGCAGCGTCTCCTAATGTAATTGCGCTTATCTGGGGGACCGAGTTGCCATGGAATGTATGAATACGCTTAAGTTAACTTCGTTTTCCTCCTAAAAAATGTACTTTTGTTATTTACGACTGTAAACACGCGCTTAACTCCTTACTACCCAATCATCTCAAGATCGCGTTAAGAGCGCGTCCATAGCAACGATCGCTAAAATGTTCATATTAAAAATATTGTAGCGGACTTCAGGGATTTCATTTTACCAGTGCTCATCAATCTTTAAATGAATATGTTTCCGTTGTTCCACTTTCCCTTGTCGTCATGCCCCATTCCATCCTATTTACCCCCTTTCCATCCTATTGTCCCTTTTCTCGCCCGATTCTATTGCTCCCTTGGCTCATTTTGTCCCCAGTCCCATTTTCCCTTGTCTCATTTGTCCCCATGTTCTGTTTGTCTACCTATTCCGTAAGTCTCCCTATTCCGTTTGTCCTATTGTCTCATTGTGCCATTTTGTTCCCTTCCACCGTTTTGTCCCCTTTTGCTATTTTCCCTTGTCCCATTTGCTCCCTTGTCCCATTGTCCCTATTAACCCTATTGTCCCATTATTCCCAACTATTCTATTTTCTTCTGCCCTATGTTTTTTAAATTTGTTGAAGGCCTTCTTTTTTTTCCTTACACTTAGTTCACAATTTTTATTCCACCATGGCACAGTCTTTTTCATTGAATTACATTGCATTTTTACTCTAGGTAGGTTAGTATCTGCAGCTTGACATATAATATTTGTAAATGTTTGTAATATTTGGCCAATTGATATCTGAGTATTTGTTGATACCGGGTCTAGATTTTTAATTTGATAATTTATATGATTTTTGTATGATGACCAATCAGTAATGTTTAATTGTCATTTAATTGGTTGATAGAGTTGTTCTTGACTAGTAGTGCAGTTGTTGGATACCAATGTCATTAGTATTGGGTAATGGTCACTATCATATAAAGTCTATTGAACACCATTGTATGTTGCAAACGATGAAAGTGCTACAGATGGAAAGATCAATAGCACATTGAAGGGCGGATCTTGCTGAAAAGTATGTTGGAGTTCCATCATTTAGTAACATCATTTCAGTGTCTTCTAGAATTTGTTCAATATCTTACATATTTTGTCGGTATGGTTAGATCCTCATAAATTGTTGTGGCTATTAAAGTCTCCTACTAAGATAAATGGTTTGGGCAGTTGTTTGATCAGGTTTTCAACATCTTCTTGTTTTATGGGATGGCACTTTGATAAGTAAATATTACATATGTTGATATTATAAGGGAAATTTGTTTTGATAGCAATGACTTCATAATTTGATTGCAAGGTAATTGTTTCAGCGTTTAAGTTATTTTTAATCAGGATAGCAATTCCTCCGCTGGCACATACAAAATTTGAACGTTTTGTTTGATAACATTTGTAACATTTTAGTTTAGGAGTTTGATGGCTTTTCAGATTGGTTTCTTGCAGACATATTACTGTTGGATTATAGTTATTTTGAAGTAACGTTAAATATTCAAATCTTGTGTACAATCCATTAATGTTCAATTGAATTATATTAAAAAAATTGTTAAAATTTGTATTTATTATTTATGTGACAAAATGGAAAGGAAGATGGCTTAATATACTGTATACTAATCTTGTTTACCCTATTTTGTCTGTAGTACCAGTACTTGTATCTGTTTGAAGAATTACTTTGTTAAGTTTATTATTCTAGCGAATCTATTTTTTGTTGCTCTATCTGTAAGAAGAGGGTAAGGTTCTTTCATCATTAATACTATAGCTTGTGGGTCATTGGTGAATTCTTTGGCTACAATTGAGACATCCTTGGCACCAAAACTATTGTCGAAGAATAATAAAAAGTGTTGGTAATTTAATGGAAATTTGTCTATTTTTATCTAAAATGCTTTTGATTGGTGCAATTTGTTCTTCTCTTTTTGTTTTGTGTGATGTCTTGAGTTTTAAATGTTTCATTTTTTTCTGTTTTCTTCTTCTTTGTTGGTTGAGTTTTTTGGTTTTCAGTTTTGTCTGTATTCATTAAAATGTGTGATTCTTGAGATGATGAATCAGTGGGGTGGGCTCTCCTCTCAAGAGTTGGGGGTGTTGGTTATTGAATAAAGGAGCTTCATGTTGATTTTCTAATAACAAAAATGTGTTATCAGCTGTTGGATTATTGGTGAGAGAGTGTGTGTTAAGTTCTCCAGTTTCATTATTATTTAGGGACTTGAGTGGACACTGATTTGAAATATGACCATTGTCTTTACAGATAAGACCAGACATGTTGTCTGTAGTGAAGAATATTCTGTATAATATGTTATCATAGTATATTAAAGTGGAGGTTGATAGTTTCTCCATATGTTCAGGGGCTATATAAACTTGCCTTCTTAATCTCATTATATGGGAGAAACCAGGTTCACTTATACCAGCTGTCACAAAGGATATTTTAGTTGATATTGTGATATCATTGTCATTTAATTATTTTTCTATTACTTCATGCGGTATAACTGGGCACACATTTGAGATTGTTACTTTCTTGGGCTTTCTGATGAATGGTCTAATTTGTAGTTTTTAATTTCTATTATTGGATTATGTTTTATGAATCTATCAGTGATGGCTTGGCTAGCAAAAACTAAACAAATTCTATTATTTGATATGGGTGATATGAATATAATATGTGCTACATTTCCAATCGCTGCAATTTCACTGATATGTTGTTTGTCCTTGTGGTGGGCGCCTGCAGGCTGCTGTCGGACATCCGCTCCATCCCCGAGGAGGAGCTGGGCGGGACGCTGCAGGCGGCGGTGCGCGAAGCCATGGGCGACCGCACCTTCCGCTCCGTGCAGCGCTGCAGCTACCACTCCTCCTCCGCCGACGTGAGTGCCTCTCCCGCTGCACGCATTTACGCGGCGCTTACAACCAGTTCTCGCGCGTGGGACACACGTGATTCTATTTGTTACACAATTTTAATCATTTAGATTCACTTATTTACTAATTAACTTGACTCGTTTCGCCTTTTCATGTTTTCCTCCCATAATTCCCTCCGTAAAAGAAAATGTAGCATCTTTCAACTGTTTTCGTATTTCCCTTGCAACCAAGATCCTCTCAATAAAGGTAAGTTATGCAGTGCATGTCGAGCTCCGTTTCGAAGGCAATAACAAGCGATAACCTATCACTAAAAATGAAATTAGTTTGTCTTTTTGTCTCATTATGTCGCCGTAAACGTCGGACTGTCACCCGTCCAAGAATGCGTGGTGACTCGAATTGCTTATTTTCCGTGACTTTATGGAGCGGAGGTGAGCAATTCGGCTAGGCACTACATTCCCGCGGCATTCAAGTGTTGCAGTTGAGCGCGGCCTAGGGCGCTGTCAGCGCCTGACGCACGTAGTTCCACCTTCTAGCCCTTTGACTGACTACGGGAACGCCTAGAGAGAGCCACGCGGGGGCTAATATTATCATTTTACTATCATTTATATTGAACGGAACTAATTTTAGTAAAAGAGTGGGGTTAGGTTTTTGTGAGGATTGTTTTTTGCTGTAGAAAGCGTGCGCGTATACGAATGGCCGCTGGAGTCGCTTGGTACAGACCTCAGATTTGTTGACAGCTGTAGCTTCGAGTTTTCGGAGAAAAGTCAATGATAAAAGAATGCAGACACAGAAAACTTCGAACAAGTCGAGCACTAAAAGGCAAGTAGCAATAGTCAAAAGGAAATATGTGTTACGTAGGACCTAACGGAACTCCAAGGACTCCAGTTTCGCAGTATTGAAAAGTTAACAATGATAGGAAACTGTCAGTGAAATCATAATTTGTTTTTGTGACGCAGTGCCTGAAGAAAGAAAGAAAAGGAGAGAGAAAGGGAGAAAAAGAGAGACTTTCCAACCCTCTTTGAAGCTCTCTAGTGATGTATAAAGGATTTAAGAAATTTAAGAAACCAATTTCGGTCGTTCCCGCACTGAACCAGACAATAAGCATTTGATTTGTAGCAAAACCCGAACTTACTCATTCAAATGCGAGAGCAGCTAACTAGAACGTCATCGAAATACCACGTTAGTGAGCTGAACCATGCATGGATACCTCTAAAATCATCTCAGGAATCATTTGGCCCACGCAAAAGCATTATGAGAAGGAGAATGGCTTTGCGTCTTTACAAGTACAGAGGCGCGCTAACACGTTCAGAGGCACGGAAAGTTTCAGCGTGTGAACACGTCCAGAGCTAGTCAAAGGGCCAGAATGCTAAGCAGATTCATTCAGGATTCATTATTGAACGCATTTTAAATTCAAACTTCAAATGTTTCAAGCATTATAAAGAGTAAAATAGCAAGAACCGAAACCATTTTATCACTGTAGTGCCTCTGACCTGGAGGTCCTAGGTTCGAGTCCCGACGGTGGCAAGAGTTTCGGCACTAGTTTGTCAGCTGGATCGAATTCAGTCCCTGTCTAGAGAACATTGCTTCTTCTAGAGGCCGGCTGCTCTGGTAGTTTCCCTTAGTTTTTTTCGATCAATACCAGGCGAATGCCAGAGCAGTACCCTAACAAGCGGGCCACGGAACGCGCGCTATCTTTCCTTCCTCTTCTTTATCCTATCCTCACCCCTTACACACGCTTACAGTGACATGCACAACACTACCACACATGTCGGAAGACCAGTGGGGAGCTTAGAGATCGTCCCGGAGAGGGCGGGGGGGGGGAGATATGCCACGGTGGTGGGAGATACCTAGTTGAGGGAAACCCCGCTAGCCGATAGTAGCTCGGCGCCATCCTGCTAGAGTGAAGATGGCCGCTACCGCATGTGATAAGACATGCCCTTAGGGACTAATGTCCTTTAGAAGTTAACGTGCCTCGAATCACTAATCGATCAATAAATCAACCGAAACTGTTTTTTGTAAAATCGTCAAGATCACATTTCTCTATATAGACGTTTGTGCATTGAAACTCGTCAATTCTATACTTCAATTTTTCTCTAGTGGCCGATGGCATTAGGTAACTGTTACATCTCCTGCCTTATAAAATGAAAACTTTTAGTTAATTCAGGAAAATCTTTCCTAACTGAGCTCGAAGCCTTAAAAATGTGCTTACTGATGTGACCGGGAAAGGCTGAGAAACTCGAACACTCAAAGTCAAATATATTCATTATATTCAGTGTCCAAAGTCGTATCGAAGCCAGGTTTACACCAAAGTCCGGAAGAGAAACGTGAGTAGAGCAGTGTCATAATACAGTTCGTATAAAGCACATAATTCCCCCTTCCAAACGAACGCCGGCCTCTGCCGCTCCCGTCGCCAGGGGATGGTACGGAAGAGGGGAGGGGCCGCACGCCGCCTCCAAGCCCCTGCCGCTGCCCTAGCGCCGGCGTTCCAGGGCCGCGCCGTGTCGCGCGGTGACGTAACGCCGCCGACACCGCCGCGTCACTATGGCTTAACTGCCACTACACTTACCTCTGTTGTGGGAAATCTACCGAGCACAGCAGCCAGACGCTAGAATTCCCCTCCAGGCAACGACTGAATTCGTCCTAGCGGACTAGGTACGATACTGTCGAAAATCCTGCCACTATCCAGTCTCGAACCTACGACCAACCTGTCCGAGGCACTGCAGTGACATCAGTGAGCCACCTCCCCCGGTCCGAGTGTAGTGGAGTAGCGTCGGTTGGAGCGCTGAGTGCGTCGTTTTCGCAGGTGGTGCAGGCGCTGTCGCAGATGGGCGGCGGGGGCGGCGCGGAGGCGGCGGGGGAGGCGGGGCGGAGGGCGGGCGACCCCGCGAGCGCTGGCAGGCAGCTGCTCGCTGCTGGGGGCGGCTTGGAGCGAGGAGGAGCCGGCAAGGCAAGCGGGCGCGGCGGCGCCCGCTGTCCGTCGCTGGGCCAGGCGTCCGCTCGCGCGCGGCACGCGCCGCCGGCCGCCGTCGCCGCCGCGCTGCCGCCCATCCTGGAGGCGGCAAAGCCGGCGCGTCGCTGAAGGAGCGCGCGCCCTGGCGGCGTCGCGCCACACGCTGCACGCGCTGCGCCACAGCCGGCCGCCCACAGCGCCCCCGCCCCCGCCCCCGGCAAGGCCGCGCCAACGGCAGCAGCGCCGCCCCGCCCACGCCCGCCGCGCGATTCACGCGGCGCAGCTCGGAGACCGTCAGCCTGACGCGCGCCGAGGAGGGCGACCAGCAGCCCTGAGCAGCCTCCTCCACCTTCTCAGCAGTTTATAGTCTTAGGGCTCCTTCCCACGGCGCCACGCACCAGCGCTTCCGTGTGCTAGCCAAGCAGGCAGCGGGCGCTCGCCCAAGCACGATGACGTAAGGTCTGCAGGACCTCTTGGCGGAGCGACGAATGCTACTCGGGAGCTCGTTGCCCGTGTCCACTCCTCCGTCGGTTCAGATCCACTCAAACTGGCCCTGCTGAAACTCCTGCACCTCGCTAGTCCAGACCGACCCTCTGGGTCCTGATAGCAGCTTCCCGTCCTCTTCTCTGACCACCGCGCACTTCGAGTGTCGCCGATCCGTCCGATGGCCGCTGCGAAGGTCTCTCTTTGACGCTGGGCTACGTCACGTGCCAATGTAAATAACATCACCCCCATAAAATGGTTTTCCATGACCCGGGGTCACCTCTGTTCTCATTCGCTCCCTCTGTTCTCATCCGCCCATAGGCCTAAAGGAAAATAAGTAACAGACCGGAGGGCACCTTCTGCCCTTACCGTCCTTCCGCTCCCCCGCTCGCGCGGCCAGACCCTTCCACTACGACAGTTTAAATGGAGGTCTTCCCGCGAGTGGCGGAGTCGCGCTGCAGCGACGCGCGGAGGCGGTCTCCCGCCTCCAGCAGAACAGAAGCGCGTCCGCGCCACCGCGAGCAGAACACGGCCTTAAACGGCAACCTGCTCACTAGAGGCGCCGCCGAACCGGTTTTGCCTGCTGTCTGTATTTTGGCCGCCTGACCCCACAGCGGTGTCGCTCTCGAAGCCTTCCCCTCTCGTGGTTGGGCTCTGCTCCTTCTCGGTGGCTACGTTCGAAGACAGCCTTATCTTTAAAGGTGACTTCACACGCTCCACACGTTCACTCTTCCGACCGCCAGAAAGGATGAATTCGTGAGTCACATCGCTGAGGGCTCAGGAGGTCGGAAGGCAGCCAGAAGGCAAAGGCCGGCTCAGTGGCGCATACAGTGCGAACGCTGTCAAATAGATATTTTCTGCTAGCCATGGTTCGAACGCGCTTCTGCGCGACTGGTGGTAACGGGAGTCTGTAAACGACCGCCACAGCAGTGCGACTAGACCACTCGTATGAATACCTCCATTTAAGCCAGTGCTTTGCCACCAAATGCAACATTCGGAAACTCTACTCAGTTGCGCCGTGTGAAGGAGCCCTAATGGTTGTAATGTTGTAACTTTGCAGCCGACATCTCACTCAGTTTTGTGGATAGACGTACTTGAGTTAAATGTGGTGCGTGAAATATGATGGTGTTCGACAATGCACATGTCCTACTTAGATTGTAAAGAATGTCGTGAAGGACTTCGGCTTTAACAAGATGGATCATTCACATTAAAGTCCATATTGAGCATCCAGAGACTTTACCACTAATCACAGCTGAATAAAAACCTTTCAGGAAGAAAAAGTGTGTGTGAAAGAAGCAGTTTTTGACCATTTTGCGAACAAGAATTCAGTAGTATTTTTTCAAAGGCCTAGAAATATTAATTTACAGATGTGAAAAAGGGATTGGATTAAAAGATTATTAAGTGGAAAAATTATCTATTTTTTTTCTTCGTATCAAAAATAGAAGATAGTGAGACCAGAAACTCATGAAATTTACCTCGTTTCAACATCGACACTCATTTTCTACGATCGTAGAAAAATTCTATTTACAAATCATTATTTAGTTCATCTCTACCCTTCATAATTATCAAAACAAAGTACCATCTGCCTTTCCCATCAAGTTACGCAAAAGAAATTGCTCGTGTTGACGAGATATTAACTGCAAAAATCTTTTTTTCTCGGTGACCTTATGTTTCTCGGATGGCTTAAGAAAAATATCGTTTATAACGATACCTAAATTCTTACACGACCGCAGAAAATAGTTCTACACTTGGCTGATACAGACTTTGGGGTGCAAATTAACCTTTCCTGACGAGATGAGGATAGCAATCGCATCCACATTTTGAAATGCGAACGCCAACGGCACTTTTGTACGAGATACGTACATTTCTTTTCTTCATACCCATTCTGGGTTTACTCTCAATACCTAAGCAAAGTTACAGCCATGTGCATTCATAACTCCATAATGTGATACTTTTGAATCGTAAGGTCGTAGCTACTTTACTTTACATGTGCGGCAAAATTGCTACTTTTTAAGCGATAAACAGAAAATGAATTACAGAAGATTTAAACAACATATAATTGATATCAAGCACAACGAAATGCATCACTTTACTGACAAAAACTGGAAATAAACTTCAAACTTCAAAACAACAAAAACAGAGCAATTAAGCTTAACTTTGTTTCGGACAACTAAACTTTTGAAATGCACGTCATTCAGACCACGTATCGTCTCCACCAATGCGTTTACCATTAGATGAGCGACTTTCGATGAATTAGTCATCATCTTCAAATCTGGTACCAGCTATAAGCATCAACAGTAAATTCAGTAATTGCTAATATGCAACACAGAAAATGCAAAGAAGAACATATAATTAAATAACATATTAACATACATAGCTACATTACAAAGACGTGTTAGTTAAATAAATTTACCAGCGACAAAATATCCGCTTGTCTTATGCGTGAAAGTATTGGTAAAGAGTATAACCTTACATTCCTCTACATACACAAGTGTCAACTAACCCTCACAAATATAATAATGTGAAAACATTTTTTTCATTCCACCAATAATGAAAAAATGTTCATTTTTGCTTGTCTCCGTTTCATGTATGAATGTGGTAATCTCTAAATTACCTTCTCCATATGTTCGACTGTACTTATTAACATTGTTTGCCTATTTTGTAGATTGTTAGGCCTACTTAGATCACAACAGGCGCGTGACGTATTTTTCTATGACGTCCTGCCACTCTAAAAATATATTGTAATGTAAAGGACTGTAACATTACATGTTGGATCACGCTTTTATGTGACAGTTACTTTAATTCATAGAACTTCATAGTGTACTGAAGAAAGTACTATAGGAAGTTATATAGGAGATAAAATAGCGCAAGAGAATACTGGACAAAGCAGAAAGATAAGAAATGAAGAAAGTCAGATTTAATGAAAAAATACAATGAGTAGTTGTTAGGAAAGGATAAATGTATAAGGACATCGACTCTTTGAAATATTAAGGAAATAATACACATTTTATCATCAGTAATTTTAAATTCATCCACTAGAAGAAACTGGGGTGTAATAAATATTAATTTGGTTCAGATGGAAAATCAGTAGATAATATCATTATATACCAGTCTATCATTAGGTCGTCACTAGCAAACGTACCAGAGATGCTGTATGTTAGGGAAGTCACGTTTGAGGTAAAGGCCTGTTGATGGAGAAAGCAAAACCAGCGTAACCTACATCACAATCAGTTGTTCCTCAAGGGGGAGTTATAACCCAACCTCTCCCATGATAATTTGCGTGTTCATTTGACTCATTATCTCAGAAACTATGAACACTAGTACTGTGAAATTTTCGGAGCAGCATGATAGAAGTATTTTAAATAATTGGTATCGTATCTACAACTTACCTTTTTACATATTTACACATATCTTTTGAATGGTTTTTGTAATTTATAGAAGATTTTAAGTAAAAGCCAAAATTTTTACAATATTATTTGCTTTATATATAATGTAGAAATCCTAAAGTATAAAACATAATGAAAAGATTTGGATACCATATATTCATTAATGCTTTATTAATATCCTTCAAAATTTTTAAAATTATTAGTTGAGTATTTTCTAAGACAATCTAAGAAATCAGTGTTAAGATTAAATTTATGTAACACTCAGTTTTTCATAAACTACATCATTATTATTCACATTATCTTCAGCAGAGGAAAATGTCAATGCCTTGCCAATTTTCTTTTTGAAGCACGTTAAGGTGAATTACTGGTAGTACTAAAGCATGATTATTGTCATTTACTGGTAAATCAATTTCGTTACCATCATTTTGATGCTTTACTAAATTTATTGCCATAAAACGAACATTTCTTAAAAACGCTTTTACTTCTTGTCAAAATTTTCTCGAAAAGAGCAATCTTCAACGCACGTCAAACAAAATTTGTCAAGTAAACAAAACGTGATTCCCGCGAAAATAATCTTGGAAGAGAAAGCTTTGCAGTGCAAATACCATTGAAGAATGAACTTTTCTCTACCTTCCAGTGAAAACCATGGCCTTCTAGATAAATTCGTTCAAAATATATACTTGAGAGACTAACCAATACAACTGTCATATTGATATATGCAGATGAAGGAACAAAGTGACGAAAATATTTTACGATGACATATATTATTTTATTCAGAAAACTCGAAATATTTCGAAAACGTTTAAATCCCAAAATTATAAAAAAATCAGATATATTACTTTATGACTCCCCAGGATACTCAGATATTAATAGAAATGAATATTAATCGTTAGGCCTACTGTTTCATTAGAGTTAAAGGCACTTTTTCTTTGTGGGAGAAACGCGAAATGAAAAGCGATTTTTACTCATCGCTTGCAGCCAAATACATATTATTCTTGGCACTCCTCTGGTGTGTCGTTTCGGATGCTAATACTCTGTGTGAATAAAATCCTCTTGTCTCTCTTGTGATATAAATTAATTTTAATTATTAATGTATTCCTGTCCAAAACAATAAAGATAACAAATATCTACGGCCATCAGGAAAACTACAGGTCAAAGAGAATACTTTCTTTTGTTTCTACTGCCTGAGAGAAGACGCTACGGACGCCCATGTGTATTTTTCCATTCTGTTAGGTTTTATATTTATTAACCAGGAAACTTGTGCCAAATAGAAAATAAAAGTATTAATTTCACATCTCTTTTCTTATTACGGAAGATCCTAGGTTAATTTGTACGAAGAACAGTGATGCAACACTTAATAGCATTCAGATATAAGCAGGCAGCTATTTCATTAGGTACTATAGTACCGAGTAAAATGACGAACAGTCATATGTTACACAGTAAATTCCAATTAGTAATGCGTGTTTGAGACCAGATATGGAAGTCCTTAGATATTTCCTTATGATCAGAAAGTCAATAAATACCTCTTGTAAATTGTATATTAGGTTAAAAATCTATTACGTATACAAATTAGTTGAATGAATTTTTACAACTATTTTACAACTTTGTAAATATAACAATTGGATTCGTTTAACAATAAAATTACAATAAAAAACTGAATACATTAAAAGTAGTGTACAATGCATATGCTACATACTAAGCCATTTCTTACATTTCTCAACCCTATTGATTCTTTCCCCTTTGACCTCTAATATCTACCTCGCCTAACCTGAATATTCCATTTTTCCCACATTCTTCCTTCCCGAAAAAAACAGACATATTTCTTAAATATTTTCCCAATCTTCCTCTTCCATTTCACAGAACCTACATTTCTTCCCTCACCATTCAGCCAATATCTACTCGCCCCCCTTACTAACCAGTATCTTGCTATCCTTCGTCTGTCACTCTCCTTTTTAGATAACTTGGAATGATCAAATTGGAATATAAAAATTAGTTATCACACTCCTCGCATGTTCATTGCTTCATTGGGTGAGATGAATTCGATATTTCCCCTTCGAGAAGACACGTGAGTGTAAAGTGGCCGACAGAGAAACCAATGTAGCAAGTTTCGTAATTTGGCAGACTGTTATTAAATTTAAGATTATTACTCGGGTATTTTGGAGGTGTATATTAACGCAATGACCATCAACTGTCTGCCACGTGTACTTTTTTTGTGCGCGTAATTATAAAAATGTGATGCATTCCGTTTTAAAGGTGAATGCACGGTTTATTTACATATTTTCCTACACCAAACATGAACAGATGTTAGTAAATAAAGAAAAAAAACATTTTCATAACATTTTAGGAACTTTTTGAACACTGTGTTCAAAGTAAATAGTGATTGTATTATACCAGAATGTATAATCCTACCTCATTTCATTAGTTTCGAGACTTAATACTGAGAAAAAAGAGGCAATGTTTTGGAGGTTTTCTATATTCCATATTCTGAATATGTAGAACTTTTCTAGTCACATTCCACACATATCTAATTTTCGGCGCGCATCTTAGGTGCTCAAAATTTAACGATTTGCCGGAACTTTCCAAGTCATTGTAGTCACAGGAATTAATATGGGTGCAAAATGTTTTCTGCACCTGTTGTAAATCTTTAAATTATGTCGAGCACATTTTTAAGTCTGAATAATTGTTGGGTAATTACACTAAGAGAAGGAAAAAATGGGTATGCCAGCATTCCCAGTCATTTATTATTCCATGTAATTCAATCCCCGATTTCGGTCTGGCCGTTTGAAAATAGAAAAATGTTTGTACTGTTCTGATTGCTTTAGTGGCCACTCGATATTTTATTTACTGAACGTATTTGAGACACTTTCAGTCGAAACGCGTATAAATTCCTTTTACAATACCGCAATGTGAATATTTAAATTTTAAAAAAAGTTGGACATAAAAGAAAGAAAAGATATAAATAATATTAGATCTAGTCCTGACATACGCTCGACATTCTGTCACTGGACGTTGAAAGCAAGTGGGAAGCCTCCAAATACTATTTTTTACATTTTATCCTTCAACGATGTCTGTTAGGGAAAGGGGTAATATTTGTTTGTAAAGACAGAAAACAGATTAAGATAACAGTTTATTTCACATTAAACCAGCAACAACAGTAATATCTATGTACAATATACACGGAGTCATAGCTTTTTTGTCACTTCAGATAAGTGTAAATGCAGCGATGACTCTACAACATCAATGGCGGCCTCCGGGGGCGCAGCGCCCCGAGCGGAGCGCCCAAGAAACATCGAAAAACAGCGAACGGAGACTGCGCTATCACATGGACCTAGAGGCCGAACTCAGGCGCCCACAGCTCGTCCTCCACAGCAGCGCATCCCACGCACTTGCTTCCAATTCTAACAGGGTTAGGTACTCACGTTTAAATTAACTCAATTTTGCAACAGTCATTTGGGGGGGGGGAATGTCATAAGATTTCAAAATACTTATTCATGAAGATATTTTTTCTCAAGAAAATACGTTTTAACGCATTGGAGGAATTCTTTTACGCAAAACAAAGCCACAAACAAGAATGGCCAATGCACGCAGCCTGGGCGCTCCCGCGTTCGTGGTCAATGCACTGTGTTTCGCCTCCGCTGCTGTGGGGAAGCCACTGTGGAGAAGCTTCAGCATTCGCTCAGAGTACACGCAGAGCCTCCTCCTTACACTATACACAGTATTTGCTTTTTATAAAGTTATTGTCTCACATGTGTTTTGTGTCCTGTGCGTACCATCTACGTAATAATTTATATACTGTACAAAACAATTTTAATTGCATTATTGTTAACATTACCTGCCAGTTTTGTTGGGTGCATAGATCTGAGGCTATTTTCTACGATCGCTAATACAGGGCACAGTCGGCAGTGGTGATGGAACGTTATGAAACGTAAAACCCGGAAATACTTCCTAATTGGTAGTGACAATATGTACTAAAGTCATAACTAACGGAAGTTCCAATTGGTTCACAGTTTGCTAAAATATTCTGTGAAAATATTTTTCTTTGCTTCGAAAACTCAGCTGCCGCATCTCAGAAGGAGGAGCAATATGCACGAGGTAAACTAGCAGGCTACGAGTCACTAACATTTCAAACTCATACAGCCAATTCTCTGTAATAACACTTTAAATTTGCATATTTAATTTGTTGTAAATACTTAAAATTATTGTCTTAAAATGTTACGCGTCATTTACGTTAAAATGCTCATCTCTGCGGAAAAAATAGGAGATATGTGCCCCACGAACAAATAAAGGTGCTCCTTCAACACCTTCGTTATCGCATCAAAAGAATTACTAACCCCATCCTTTTCACTACATCGTTCTTCTCAACATAAAACGAAAAAGACAATGTGCGTAGAGTGTACGTTTGAAGTCAAACGGCATTCTGCATATGATGTGTAGTATTTTATGATTTGTCTGCAACACCGCCAAGCTCCACAAAATAGAAGACGCGATAGCTATCAATATTAGCAAAACGACACAAATACGGCAAGAGTTGTTTGGCATTGCGTAAAAAATTTCAAAACAACGTGTAAACGAGGGAATGTATGTATAGAAAAACGAATTATAAAAATGTCTTCTTCGAATTTAAAATCACATTTAGGTCCCGATTGGATAAAGAATTATTGTCGTTCACTCTCGAAAGTCGAGATTCGGCGCCTGGACGCGGCGTCTCCTGGTCCTGCCACTCACAGCGAGCGCCCTGGTTCTGCCGTCCAACCCCTTCCAAGACAGCGCTGCAAGCGGAGACAGGCAGAAGTTTCTAACGGACATCGGAGGGGCTTCCGGCCTTTGGCGACACATTTTGTCGCAATTATCTTCCCTTTTACATCCTTAGCGATCCGGAAATTCCGATATAATAAAACGAACGCAGCAAATGCCTCTCTGGAATGATACCGATCTCTACTCAGTACCTACAACACGAAATACAAAACAAGAGAACCGCGTGCAACAAGAGTGGTGGCCTTAAATCATGCAATTCAGAACACGTGAATGACGCCTGAACTATCACTCCGTGAGGTGGTGCAGTAATGCCCACGCACACTCTTATACAGTGATCTCTCTTCGGACTCTTATTCTCAATGAGTGTTTATAACTTAGGTATGTAACAACAGACGTTAATGCAATATCATTTTCCAGGCTTTGACGAATACGTAATACTGCATCAAAAGATTTAGTTTTTAAAGGACGGTTCCCGCGCGTCACGTCGTTCTCCTCTCCCGCAATTTCCTCGTGCCACCAGGGATCGCTGGTTAGGCCGCAATATACTACATAATCTTTCTAGATCTTCCTCGTCTTGTCCGGGCTGTAGAATTTCTAGTGGCTATTCTAGTGAAGTCAGGTGGTCAATGACGTTCGTAATAAGAATTCTGTGTAGTATTAAATTGACCGTTACTTCGTTCCTTAATGTAGGCTCACAAAATACGTTCGACGAATTGCACCGGCGCGGGGCGAGGTCAGCTGTAAAAACGTGCGCAGTCCGCTGCGAATAATTTTAACACCAAAAACAAGAAAAGCGAAAGGAGGGAGAGGGGGAGGGAGCAAGAACAAGTCTCGCGGGCGTGGCGGAGGAGGCCACTGGAGCGGAGGGCGGGGGTGGCAAGGGCGCGGCTAATGAGGCGACACGAGAGCCCTCGGCCCGCCCCTGGGCCCACGAGACACTGGGCGCACCCCCGCGACAAAGCCCTCTCGCCCAACGCCACGTCTCACATCACCTTTTGAACGCCTCGGAACTTTATAAGTAAAAAACATTCCAAGCGAAGCGCTTAAGTCAATCAGATTATTTCAACGCGAAATTGTGATTCACTTCAAAAGGCTTTAAGTTTTTTTTAAAACTTCGATGTGCCTTGAATTTCAAGCTTGAATACAGTTGCGACCACCTGGGACCGTGATTTTTCGGTCATTTTGGAAAAAGTTTAAAATGCCAAAAATCAACCGTTTCTACAACTCAGTCTCTGAACTTCATCACCAAAAGACGCCTACTACCCAGACGGAATTTCAGGTCTAGGAGTTTCATTAGGAGTTTCAACGTTTTCCCAAAGCCATCGCAGGAAACCATTGGTAATCTTAAAAAAACCTAATTGTTATATTGTTAATCCATTTTTATTATGTAACAGTTGCCACGTGACATTCTAACAGAATTACAATTCTTACTCAAGGAACCTAAAATGTATATGGCCACACTCAAGGAATTAAAAGTAAGACGTCAATGGGGGTAACTACGATTTTTATGGGGGCGGAGGAAAATATAAAAAAGTTCATTAATGATGAACACGCAACAGAAAATAATAATACAATAATCATAAAACAAAACGACGTATAAAATGAAAATAAAAGTAACTTTTTATAACATTCAAAATTGTCATCATTATGAAATTGATAAAAAAGAGCTTGAATTTTTTAATGGAGGAATCATTAAAAAAATATTTATCATACTATTATTTGTAATAATACATTTTTACAAACAAAATACAAAAAATGTTCAAATGTAATAGGAGAATATCGTTTTATTCTAATGACAAGTTTTCGCGTATTTTCTGAAAACAGTTCCTTAAACATTTCATTTTTATACTCTTCCCATTTTTATACAACAAGAATCCTGCCTAAACTTAAAAAGCAGAATCCATTGAGTCGTGCCGTGGCTCTTGTTGATCTCAATTGCATTTTCCCTTTCGTGAGCGGTGAATCACGGAATCGCCCTACTGCACCCCAGGGACTCCCTCACGTCTGCTTCTGAGTTATTCCTCTGTCCACCTCCCTAAGGAGGCATAGCTCGATTTCATCCCGACCAGGGGTTTGAGAAGAGGAAGGATGAAAGTTTCGTAAAGTCCCCATTCAAGAGTATCGCAAATATAATATAATTATTTATTACATTATATGTTATATTATATATTAAAAATATAAATATAAATTTTTAATTCTGCATATATTAAGCGCAGACAATATCCCGATTTTTCTACACTCTGGAGAGGTCCATGATACGAGTAGAAATCAATTTTAAGAACCTGAGCATATTTACTGTAATACAAATTACTACATAACAAGCCCCCTCTCTTCCTACTTGTCCTGAACAATACAAAATGAACGTTTTCCGAGAGCAATACTGAAAGTTCTGAAACACGAGAACTCTCCATTGTATTCACGACTAAAACCCATCGGGTTGTAATCGGGCTATGCCTGGGGACAGTTAAAGGTTCAAGGAAAGCTAACATCGGGAGTCAAGTTCTTGATAGAGTATGTTGCTTTGCAATGTATATTATAAGAGTTGATTAAAAAATATTTAAAGCATACTTTCCGAAACATTTTGTACTAAAGGGATAGAAGTTGGCAGATGTAGGGGCGAGTCGTCCCCTGCCCTCCGGCGGCCATGAATAGGTCTTTGTAGACTTCCTACAACCGCAAGAGCCAGCAACGAATGTGGGTTCCTTCCGCACTGACGGACGCGACGGGGAAGTGGCTGACGAAGAACATCCACTTCCCGGAGTCCGCAGTAAAAATAAATCATATTTCAGAGTATGGGTGTCGGAAGACTGAATAGAGAGCATCAAACTTCATTGAGATTTCTTGATTGAAACTTCATTGAGAAATGGAAGTATTAATTTTTATCGTGAAAGATAATACCTTAAATGCAAAATTTAGGTACTTGATCAAATTGATACAAATTCTTAAAATGCAGGGCTCATTATTATTAGTACAAAATAGAAACCCTTATCTTGCGAAAAAATCATCAGACGAAATCTATCGTAACTGTAAATGATCATTGATTAATGAGAATCGTGAATAAATGCTCATGGATATTATTCCAATATTTAGGAACAATGCACAGATGAAAATTCACGCTAATCGATCGACATTTTCACTTCTCAGTCTGCGAATACTGCACGCATACGTTATTGTGGTGTAATCAATTCGCCTTTTTCAATCTTTTTGTTTCCATTGAGACTTATGTGATAGTGAATAATATATTTAATTTCATAACTACACATGTTTACTTCCTTATATTCTACACCTCTAGTTATTGTTAAAATAATGTAGCATAAAAAACCGAAGTCTTTTCAGAAATTTATCAATAATTTGAAGTTACTTAAACATAAAAATGCATTAATATAATATTCAGGTATATTAGTATAAATTATTTATGTCAGGTACTTTTTGATGTTTTTATAACTACAGTGAACTTTATTATTCCTTTTGCCGTAGATTTTTAATTTCATTTCCAACAACTATAAAAATTAAATTGTAATATTTTCTTAAAATATAAGACAGTTGATAACATTTAAATTACATCTAAAACAAATTTGATGGATATGTCCGCGGTTTCCAAAAATGTGATATTTTTTCCATTGTAAAATTACTGATATGCTAATCACTATCGCAGGATGTAGGTAAAAGTAATATTTTGTTTGTGAACTAATTTCTCTCAATACTTAATGTACTTGAACACTTTCGAAGGGAAAGCTAACTTGAAGCGAGTTCAAAAATAAACTCTGAAGCACAATCTATCCGGGCAGCTTTCTCTTCATCTCGCGGGGTTCTCTCCCCCACTGATAACAAGGACTTCCAAATAATTTGTATATAATATAACTGACGCGTAAATTGTAAATCCTTTACCGATTAATCGGAAACGTACAGATGAAATATTTTTCAGCGAAGATGTGCCTGAACTCACAAGTTTTCATACAATTTAGTTTGTACATAAAATAACGTGATTTTTCAGGAAATTATTGTACAAAATATGGAAGAAAATATAATCCATCCAAATCCGTACATATTACAAGACGAAGATTCAACAATTCCTTTAATATATGTCTGTACTCTTGTGCTTTCGGTATGATGTTTTATTATTTACTTAGCGCTACGAGCGACAAATATCAATAGTTAATGCTACAGTAAAAAAATTGAATATAATTCAATAACGATTGTTCGATCGGCTAACCACTCTCAAGTGAGAAAAAGAGGCGCTCGGGATCCGCCATTGCTCATCACATGATGGATCCAAAATTTGCTAGCAGATATTCTACTCAAACGAGCACGGCCACGCTTGAATCATACCTATAAGCACACACAATCCCTCTTAAGCAATGTCACACGTGCACAAATGTACTAAGTATATAAAACATTCTACTCTACGACATCGAATGGTGTTGAACGAAAACAAGCGAAAGCGCGATTCTCTGCTTGAAGTCAAACGAACACCCACAAAAACGCAATTTCAAATCGCACCGGACTAAGAGGTACAATAAAATACGAACTGCTGGATATATATCGCGTGAAGCTGAAATGTAACTTGATTGCCCGCCGCCACGAGCGCCACCGAAGCGGAGACGCAGCTATTGTCACAGACAGGAAGACAGAAGACGGAAACGGTGCAACACAGGCCTCGCGCGGCTGCGAGTGACCGCCGCGCACTCTGGCCGGGACTCTGGCAATTATACAAAACATAGGCGAGAAATGCACGCCAATTTGATCTCAGGAATTCGTTTTTACGGAGAGCTGGAGGGAGACATCTTGTCCACTTCAAAAGCTGTTTAAGGAACACCTTCCCTATTAGTATGAGGCCAACAAGTTGCAACTTGGCAACAGATTAGATCAGAATAAATTATTTTCATTCTGATCAAGTATTATACAAATCGATTAAACGAATTGAAAACATTTGTTTTTTTACACACTTTATTACAAATTTGTCTTAATATTTCTAAAACTTAGTTATGTTAAAGAAAATCATTCACTATAAATTTAATGATATAAATAGTTCTTGAAAGTAGGTATCTTTCTATCATACTTATTTTTGTCAGAATCTTCCTCATGCCTCAATATTTTGAACACGCAGGTGGCAGTCTTCCAATTCCTGGGGTCGGGCTATTTTCGATCAGATTAGTTTCTGTTTAAAAACAAACAAACTGAAAACCAACGTAAAACAACAATATGACCCCTCTTTGAAAAACAATGTAAAATTCTTTCATGAAAAAAACTATTTCGAATTCAAAACTTCTTAAATCCTTTCTCCATAGAGACCCCCCGCGAAGTATTTAACTTTTATTGAAGAAAAATCTTAGAAAAATCGTAGAACAATAAAATTTGGAAAGACAAAAGTATTAAGTACGCTTATAAAGTTTCGACGGCTGACCCCCTCCCCTCTCCCCTTAAAGAGGCCACGTTTACGAAAATAGCAGCAAATATGCTTCACAAAGCACAGCAGACAGATGAATAGAAACAAGTATTAATTAATGCCTGTGTGTAGGATTAAGAAGAGCACACGTGTAGAGTAAATTCTGATGTCGCAGGCTTCAGGGCTCAACCTGTCATCGCCCCTCCCGAAGACGGCGACGTTCATGTCCCAGGGCATGCGATGGTGTCGATCTCGACAATTAACTGAAAATCGAAAATACATCGTCGCGACCTGCGAGCGCATCACCGTACTTACGGATCTTCTCAAATAACTGCGAATTTACTGCCATACGACAGGCGAGCCACGCAATTAATTACTGATACATTAATGATGTTGAATACATTGCAAGGAGCTAAAACGATTGGATTCTTAATATATTGCACATCTTCAGGTGGAATTGTAGGATGGATCTTGTGCATTCGTTCAGAGACAATTCGCGTGCTCCCTGCCATTAAGCCACAAGCCTTGACTGTAGTAGTCTGGCGAACGTGGCAAAATGGTCAGCTGATTCATTGTCGCGTGACTACTCCTACTCATTCTCACTCCAGTGCAGCTATCGGAGAATATCCATCGCAGCAAGCTGTACACACATTAGACCTCAAAATTGGCGTTTATCCTTTGAAAAGTTCTCAATAGAAGGATGCGTTACGACATAGCATGTGTATTGAAGTGAAAAAATAAAGAGCAATCCAATATTTTTCCTTATATCTGAAAACATCATAGAGTAAAAATCGTTGTTAATAGTATTGTCACATTAAATGCCTTTGCTGTAAGTGCATATATTCGAATAGAACGCGCCAAGTGGAGTCGTGGGACAGCCACTGCATCTAAACAGACCAAGCCGTCGCCGCGCGCCGGCAGCAGCCACGCCAGCGACCCAAGCGCCAACGGACCAAAGAGTCCGAGGGACAAATGACTGAAAGGCCCAGCAGCCAAAGGGCCAGAGGCCAAGGGTCAAAGGCCGAAGAGCAAAGGGCCCAAGGACGAAGGGAGAAAGCCCAAGGGCCCGACGCGGAGGCCCTGGGTGACTGCGCGGCCGCGCGACGCCGCTCCAACAATAACAAAAATACTCTCGCTCTAGCGACCAATTCCCTTGGGCGAGTGCAGGGTACTACGAGCGGAAAAGTGTTATAACTTGTACCTAGAGGTATTTGCGGGGGATATGTACTGTTTGCAGGGGATATGTACTGACGGGCGAACACACTAACTTTATATCGAGTATTGCTCTGGCTCGGCTAGGCAACCTCCTGCTCTGCCCGCCCCCACCCACGCCCACGCCGCCGCCCCTGCTTTTGTGTGTGGCGGCCCGCCCGCCAGGGGCAGTCAAAGCCAACATCCGGTTCCGCGTGATAAATATCCCCAGTACGTTCTTCTCCGCTGTTTGCAGAGATTGAATAAAACCGACCGGAGAGATCTGAACGTACTTGCAAACGTATTTGCGTAACGTTATTACCTAGCTACTAACGTTTTGAAGCGAACCCACTGCTTGCAGGTGTGTCAGAATCTATGTTACAAACTTCTAGGGCCTGTAAGGGATTCGAATATGATCACTTATCGCCAATAACAAAAACAACAGATCACGAATTGACGCAGTTAAACAGAGTTCGATTACCTTCCGAACACTAGTGCACATGCCAATAGGGGACAATGTCACATGCGCAATATCTTCGCAATCCTCCAGCAAATTCCCACCACAAACTAACAAAATGTGATCATGATCGACCTCCCTTTATGAGCTAGAAGGCTGTAGCTTCTTCTGAGACACTCGGAGTGCCCCCTCGCGTGAGGGGGGCGGGCGGGCGTGGCGGGGGCGGGGGCGTCGCTGGCCCCTGTGGGCTGCCCGCTCGCCGCCGCCGCCGCCGCTGCTCTGGAAGATCGAGGGGATATGGTGGACGCGACGCGCCGCGCACGCAGGTAGCGGGCAGGTGGGACGGGTGGTGGGGGGGTGGTGGAGAGGGACACCGCGGCACAGGGCCACATCGCCGAAGCACTGAGGAATGACGACGAGTCTTTTATATAATAATCCACGACTTTTTGGCGCAATCTAATACCGACAAAATTAATGAAAAAGGTGTGATTAATTAGGGAAAAATAATTGACAACTCTGAAAGGTACTTTAGTAACTTCATTGTTTCGACTGTGGAATATCGTTTCTAAATTAACATCCATACAACTTTAAAAAACTAAGCAAAATGATGTCTCGGCAAGAATTGCACAAATGTACAAGTGTACAGAAAATATCGTCTTTTCATGAGAAATAACATTTTTCACGTTATTGAATGTTATATAAATCTAGCTAATAAATAGTATGTATTAGCTAGTTTTAGTTTAGTACATTTTTCTGTAAACAAAAAAATTATTGAACACTCTGTATAAAGTGAAATTTTATTTCTTATTTCAGATCTTTTTTTGAGAAACCTTCATTAGTGAAAATGGCAATAAAGCAGTCTTGTGTGGAGCCGGAAATTAGAAGTGAGAAACGCTGCCTCAGAAGAGACCGAGACGGCGGCGTGGCGGCCGGTGCCGATGGGGCGGGGGAGGGGAGGGGGAGGGAGGCTCAGTGTGGAGGAGGGAAGGAAAGAGGGGACGAAGTGAGCGCTGCGCAGCTTGGTATATGCGCAGTGCGCGGGATATGTGGCGGGTAGCGAGCGGCGGATGCGTTGCGGTGCTGGCGGGGTGCTGGCCCGTTGCCTTTGCTACGTCTATTTGCACTATTTTGTAACCCTGTTACGCAGATCTGCTTACATCTCCTGGTATTGACATGGATATTAACTCGTTTGGGCGGGAGCCTTTCCTGGGGCGAGATGCTCCCGCCTGCAACTCCTCCGTACGCTGAAGAAACAACTCCCCTCCCTCCCTGCCCACCCTCGCCCGCCCTCCCCCAGCCCCCTGCCATACGCTGCCACTTCGGCCTGCCAGCTAGCGCCGCGAGAGCGGGGGAGGGCGGAGGGCGGGGGCGCGGGGCCCCACTAGGTGTCCTCGTCCTCGTCGGGCGCGCCCGTGGGGCAGCACAGCCCCTCCGAGCCGTCCTCGTGGATGCAGAACAGCACCTTCTCGGCCGCCGTCACCGAGTGAGGCACGATGCCGTGGAAGTCGCGCAGGTCGTCGGCCGGGAACCACGCCTGGTCGTTGTCGTCCACGATCACGTACCCGAACGCCCTGCACAGCAAAGCGCAGCAAAGCGTCACTGTCTGCGGCTCTCGCACACTCAAAGAGACAACACCTGCGCACTCAAAGTTCCCCAGGAACCCCACGCACATGTCACACGAGGAACTTCGTTACGAGAGACTTCCCACCACCTGTGCCCAGGCAAAAACTAGTTATTTTCAACCACGCTATATTCGCTACACGTTTGTAACATACACTCTCAACCATATCCCCAGGCGGCTCATGAGCATACTTAGTTAGCCGTGGTGTAATCCTGGGTTCAATTCCCGGTCGGGGCGAAAAAGTTGCAGCTTTTCTTTACAATCGTCCCAGTTTCTATACCTGCGACGAAGGAATGTCCAGTCACGCAGTTTTTGCTAATTGCGTTCAAGGGAATGCGTCATGTTCCCCACATATCTCTCACACCCCCTCAAACATGGTAATGAAATGAAGACACCGTTCACTGATCCGCAAAAGCGGACAATTGATTCAAAAAACCAAATACATACATATGTTCTGAAATGTTCTGGGTCTATAACAAATACTCTCTATAATTCTTAACAATCACAAATGCGTTTCACACACAATCACACATGAATATCTTACCGACTCTTATACTTTCGTGCACCATATGATTACATAGTCTGCATCAAAAGACCGGTCGAGAGCTTAGAGCTTGTCCCCACGGACGCGGTGCCCCGATGGGAGAGATACATAAGGTGGAATCTCACCACCCGAAATGTATGTCGGCAGCGGATCTCACGTTTCAGTGCCAGAGAAGCACCTCCACCTCCCGGCATTTGGCATGCAGTACGCTTTTGGATGTAATAACCGTATCGGTTGCATGTATGTATTTGGAATTTTGGGTCGATTGTCCGATATTGCCCAATAGCGAACGGTGTCACCCACGCTCATTTCATTACCATGCTTGTGGGGGTCTGAGAGATATGAGACGAACATGATGTATTCCTTTCAGCGTAGCTAGCAAACAGCATTCCTCGTCGCACAAGTTCAGAAAGTGAAAAGAAAGTTACAACTCTCTTTTTGTCCCAATCGTGAATCGAACCCGGGATCGCACCACGGTACGCTAGTACTCTGCCTATGAGATATCGTAGGGCACGTATAGGCTGATGTACTAAAGAAGTGATGTCAAGGACCCTTACTCTGTGGAAGTGGCACCATGGCATGCCACGAGCTTCTCAGCACCAACAGCCGCGAGAAAGGAACCTAACTGTAATAACCCCGCCGTTTACCAACGTGGTGGACTCGCGTGTACAACAGCTGATATGAACAGACAAGTAAAAGTAAACACTGCTCAAGTGCGCGGAGGGGCGGGAGAGAAGGGGGCGGGGCTGACCTGGCGATGGCGACGACGGGGATCCAGAGCACGGACATGAGCACCAGTACGGCGATGAGCACGAGCGCCCACACGGGCCACGCGTGGCGCTCCGTGTCGCCGCGCGCCGCCACCCACGCCGGGTAGCCGCTGCCGTCCACCGCGATCTCCACGAAACTCGCCACCAGGATGGACAGCATGGCCAGCGGCGACAGGTACTTCCAGCACACCAGCCAGTACAGCCCCGGCCGCCGCCCTGTCATCAGCTCGATGTCGTCGGCGAACCTACGCACCCACACATGACCTTTTGCAGCGCACTCCAACAAACCGCGCTCAACAACCAAAAATACATTGCTTGCAGCCTATAAGGTTCCCAAAACACCAAAGATTGATTGACTACTAGTGATTTCTGGCGCGTTAGCTACTGAGGTCGACCCTTAAGTGTAGTGCATGTGTTTTGGCTCAGAAGGTGGCAGTGATATTGGCGCGGATCTACTATCCGTCGACTAGCGAGGTTTCCCCAACCACGTATCTCTCACCAGCGCAACACCGTCCCAGTCGCGCCAAGCACCAAGCTCCCGACCGGACTCGCCGTATGTGTGGTGGTGTAGTGCATGTCACTGTAAGTGTGCATAAGGGGTGAGGATAGGGCAAGGAAGAGGAAGGAAAGATCATGCGCGGCCCATCTGGTAGAGTACTGCTCTGGCATTCGCCTGGTGTTGGTCGGAGAAACCACGGAAAACTACTGATGTGAGAAGCCGATTGCCAAGATCCTCCTCCATACAGCGACAGAGCGCAACGTAGCTAAGTAGCGCAAAGCACCAACATTTTTGATATTTTGAATTATCAGATTTGAGATATAAGTGCTAATACACCTCTTTGACTGAGGAACTTCCTTTTGGTTTATTTTAATGAAAATATCTTAAAACCGTTTGGGGATCGCTGATCACGTATACAATCATGAATCATATTATAAATCGTTTATTTATGATCATCACGAATTATGAAAATAATTTTTCATAATTCGTAATCATTATTCATATTATTTCATTGAAAATAATAATTCAATTATTTTCATGATTCGTGATGATTATAAATAAACGATTGATAAAAATTAATGATTGCAAAATTATAGGACTTGAAATTAGTGTTCAGTGACGCAAGAAACCAGTACGTTCGATAATTATCGTTCCGCTATTTGGAAAATTTGGAAAATCTGACTTCAGTTTCGAGTTCAGTCACCCACGACCGCCTCTTTTATCAATTTTTAATTTCAAAAAATTACACCAAAAACGTTTATGGGTCAAAGGGTTTAATATAGTTACATTTAGTGTATTTTGGGTTATAACCCAAGTGAACTTACTTTTCCCAATACACATGTATTACAAATAAGCATAAATTTCAGTCAACTAACAATATCAGTTACAGAAAACAGTAAAAACAACTTCCCTAAAAAGTATCCTCAGTGCTTTGAATTCATGTATCACTATGGGCTTCAAGGTAGACGTTCTGGTGAATTACTTTTGTTACATTTAAATTGAATGTCAGGATCTGTGTCACTGAGAGAAATGCTTCAGCTCATTGATGAGCTAGCCTGAAAACTGCAGGAACGGGGGCCAGAAGTTCAAAAGTCGTAAAAGCAAATCTACATAAAATCGTAGAGCATTGTAAATGCTACGAAAAGTTCTTCCACAACAGAAGAAAACAAGTGGTACGACAGAAATCATAAAAAAATCACGAAATGGCTGAAAAAGTGCACGAGAAATTGAATTGTGATATGATCAGAATCATCCACAATATACAAAGTAAAATAAAGCGTGAAGACAACACAAATACTTTGAAATTTCCCCGACCATGGATATTTTACTATATTTCTGAAATACTAAAACCAATCACAGTTGAAAAATTATATTACAATTTTAGATTATCCGCTACATTGAATTTCAGATAGTGTGAAACAAAAACGTTTGTCTCTAAAAGTTCACTGTTACACGAGTTGACTGTATGCAATAGTCAAACTGTCCTCGTGCTTTTTAAGAATCAAAGGCACGCACGCAAACATAAACATCCTCTTCGACCATTTCAAATATTTTTTTAATTTAATTTTCTATATTTTTTTTCAGAACACAAAGTTTCGTCCATTTTTAATTTCTTGCTACGGGTTAAAGAGAACGTTATGTAATGCTTCGCGAAAAACAGCGTATAAAGACTTTTTATCGGACCCTGGTACAGAAAAAGTGGTTAAATCCAGTTCCTAAATTTGGAAAAAGTCCTCTATCACATGTACCCAGAATCCATTTTTGGGGGTTCTTGTTACCAAAAAGTCGAATGACGGCAAAACATGTCTTTCTGTCCGTCTGTGAACAACGTCAGCGGCTATACCGTTTAGCCGATTTTCTCCAAAGCTAATTTTCCCCAATCTATCTGTCTGATATCGCGACCCCGTTAATTTGAAACCGATATTTTTATTTTGGGGGGTACTTTACATAAAATCCCTGGGACATTTTTTTTAAATGGCTCCATCATTTTTTATAAAATTGTGTTACGTAATAATGGGCAGGACTTTTAAGATAATGGTACTGGTGTCATTTTCGTTAAAAACCCTCATTTCTTCGAAAATTTCACAAGTTCAAATTTTTATTTTATCCTACAACTAAAATATTGAAGGTAGAGATTTTCCCATTAATGCCATCTGTCACTTAAAGATAGGTTTTGGAATAAGGCAATATAGAATTTTTCTAAATTTTGAGTACATAATTGTGCCTGAAAATACGATCGTGAAAGTACGTGCTGTTTTAGCATGGCTAGTTCAAGAGCGGAACTCTCCAGCCGCCTTCGGCGCCGTGGCGTGACGTCACGAGCGCAACCCGCCCGACACTGCTGTGCTGCGGGTTGCAGGTACGCGGCCCCTGACGGCGCTCAATGCGTGCGGCGCAATGTTTTTAAACTGAATTGCTGATCATAAATGTTCACAAGGGGGTAATTTAGTTTACAGATATCTAATTTGTATTTGAGATTTAATTGACAAAACTCAGTAAAAATGACCAGGACTTTTAACAAAATTTTTATCATCGGATTTGGTAATTCAAAAATTATAAAGACTACATTTATCAAAAATTAAAACTCGATTTCAATTATTCTCACTCTTCATCACAGTGGTTTGAAGAATGTTCAATTTATTAATTTCAGAAAATAATATTCCAGGTTTTTATTATGATGATACTTTTTAATTACAAAAAATCAAACACAAAACATCTACGTTAAAAAACACCAGTTTCAAAATATCTATGTTAATTTACAAAAACATCGATATTTTAAAAAAAACATCGTCATCGACGTCGCATCCCTAATGGAAAGCGCTTTCGTCGTCTCCATTGAGAGAATCAGGTGGAGGGTATCGCAGGGCACTTTACGGTCAGCGAAGTTGCCACGCCCACAACGTCGAGCTTGATAACGTTATCAGGGGAGCAATTAACATTGTGGAACAGAAACACAGTCAAGTCCAACATTTCAACACAACAATTACCGTAAGAAGTGAAAAATACATAAATAAAATATGTATAATACATATATACATGTATACACATAATTATATGCATATAAATGCACATATATATGCATATAAACATATGCATATAAACATATGTATAATACATATGATATGTATAATACATATGTAAAATATTTCGACACTTTCATTGTAGACATGTCAGCCATATAAAATAATTAAGAATACAAAAGAATATTAAACGAACAAGAAGAAGCAATATATATCCAAATAAATTGAAACAGAATAGCACATGTTGTAGGCTAACAATTGGATCCGATGAGATCAGATTATTGTGGCCGCAATCGGTCCTCCAGAAAAAACCTGAATGATTCAATTATTAGTATTCAAAGTGAGAGTAATGTTATTTCATTTAACATGACACTTTAAGCCTATATGTACGAATGATGATCGACATTAATTTGTTAAATTTTCACGAAAGCAATGTTTGATTCTGTATTTCACTCAGTAGACCTGGATAACACTCGGTCCCAGACTCGGGTCCCGGTGGGATCAAGATCTGAAGGATTCCTTTCCAGAATACAACTAGTCCAAATCGGAGATATTTCACGCGACATCAAAACAATAGAATACACGTCCATAGTAATGGATATATTATTTCTCCCCGCCCTTCCACAAGTGCCACAGACATCTCTCAATGTCACTTGCGGAAAGGAAATGCCCCAACAGATAGCGCCAGTAGTAGGGAATAGCATTGTAAAACATCACGAAATGTGCAATGTGAATGGGACTTGTTTGGCTCTCGTTGCCATGCGCGTGCACTGGCGGGTTCAAGGGCTCGTGGTGGCTTACCTCTTGAGGCCGTACACATAGGAAACGCCGATGCACTCGAAGAAGGCGATAATGAGCAGCGGGAAGTTGCCGCTGAAGTTATCGAACAGCACGAACACGTAGCTGCCGGCGCCGTGCGCGAAGCTCATGGACAGCAGACAGCACACGAGGCAGATGCCACCTGTGCACGCAGGCAGCGCATTCCATGAGCAGCTTCAGACAGCATAAGTCTACTGCGAGCGCCCGAAGGGGGAATTCGTTATAAGTTGGAACGGTTTTTCATGTAAATACATACTATTACAGGAACGAGATACCTAAAGTCAATAAAAGTTTTTGCAAATCATTCTCAATGAATTAGAACCATTTTTATTTTACATATTTTTATGTATTGTGGTTTATTTACATACTTTTACATATTTTGCTTACGACTACATATTTCGAAATATTATACCTATATGGCGAAACGCATCTTTTGAAATGCGAGTTTGCAATATATATAACTGGTATCACCTTTCTTTCACAGCAACGTAATGCCCCTGCGCTCCTATGAGCACTTGCCTTGAATTGTGAAAGTTACCTCCCCCTGCTTCTTAGACAGCGCGTACTCGGAATCAAGGATGTACGAATGTTTGTAAGGCAGAAGGAATTTCAACCACGAGCTTCGTGTTTCATGACCCACGCGTAACTCGATCGAAAACAAACGAATATTTTTACCGATCTTTTTGTTATCGCGATTATTATGGGGATAGGAATGTTCTCATCACTGACTACACGCGACTTCTATTCTTTTGAGCTCTTTCTCTCCCTCTCCCTCTCTCTCCAGAGGAAGAATTTTCTCAGACGCTTCAAATTCTTTTTAAGGGCCTATTTGGTGACGTTTTGGGCTCTGAAAATGCTTGTACAAAGTAATTTTGAAATTAGAATGAATTTTTATTTGGCTTTGTTTATTACAATAAATTCTCTTTCCTAGCTTTAAGAGATTTCCCACGCCATGCTCATTGGCAAAAGAAAATTATCTTCCTCTCGTCTGCAGAGCTACAAGTTGGTAACATTTACTCAGACACCTCTGCATTCCGTTTAGCCTAATGTCGCTAAATAGGAAAAACTATATTTTTATGTACGAAATTTTTGCCTCTACTCCCATTTTCATAATTCGTACTAAGTGCTTCTACTTTCCTTCTCCTTTCACTTTTTTCCTTAAATCTTTTTATTTTCTTTCAATTCACTGACGTCTATGCATTTTAGATGTCTTTCGCTTCTAAGCCCCCATCCTGGTTGAAGTTAGTCTGGGTTTACTCAATCGCTTAAAGCGTATGCCGGGACCCCATATTGCACCCCCAAAACACAAATGTGAAATCGCCCCCCCTTTTTTGCAAGTTGTTCACAATTGAGTGATTCGAGTGTAGGAGATGCCTTTTTAATATTTTGCGAAAAGAAAATTTTCGACTTTTTACGCCATTTTTGTAAATGAGATGCACAGTCTCTCTTATATCACATTAACTTTAGAATCCAGAGAAATTGAAAATGAAAATACGTTCGTACTGTATGTCAGGCATCTTTGCATTAGTTATTGAACTTTCGTCAGTAACGTGAAATATGACATATGATTTGCGTCCGTAAGCCACAACTGTAATGAGATAAATGTAAAAATATTTATGTGATTAGGCGGAAGAGCAGGACTTACGACCTGAGCCTTAAAAGAAATAATGACTTTCTAAAATTATTATAATTATAATTATTATTCCACTAATTAACGGCAAAAGATGTTACGAATCGGTTGATTATAAACTCTACTCCCGCTTGCAACCAGGTTTCTAAGGAGCAGATATAAGCACTGCCTCAACAGAACTTGGCGCAAAATGTAGGCTGTTCCAAATAAAGCAATTTCTTTCGCTTCATAGTCTTTTCAATTACCTAGGAGTTTAGCAGTCCTTACACAAAGTTTGCAAAACAAATCCCATAGCTCCGATAAATACCTTAATGGCCTATGCTTTTACGCTCCAATATTCGTCTGATTTCGTTTTCCAAATTCTTGTATTTAAGACGTTTCACTGCCACTTTGGCTTCCACGTTTTTATCGCATGTCTCTCGAGTAGGACCTACTACTCGTGGTGTCTACAAGTAGGAACAATGTTTTCTCCAAACCCCGGGTAACACTACCCGGTTTGTTTGTCGCTATCGTTAGATCAGTTTGAATTTGTTCGTTGTACACAGTCCAACACATTTAATCGGTTTTGGTGAGTGTTTGTACCTGTGCGAACATGTGTTTGGAATTTCGAGGGCATTACAGATCTACCAGTGGACATAACAACATACTCTATCGTGTCTTTTCAATTATTCGTTCTTGGCTAGAATAGGACAAGCTGAGACGATACGATCAATGGTTTTTATTAGCTCCTGGCAAATGCGGCATTTATCATTTAGTGAAATTTTCAGAAATTTATCATAATATAGTGATCTACACGCCTGGTCATGGAGGAATATAAAAATGTATTCCTCCATGGCCCGCTTCCGATTCTGGCTTCATTCTTCCCCTCTTACGCCACATAAATGATTGCGCCTTGTCCATTCTCTTTAGATAATGTTTAGTTGTCATTGAGATCGGAGCGAGAGCGCGGGTGTCCTCACCGGTAAGCAGCTCCTTGCGCAGGTTGGGGAAGAGCTTCATGTCGACGATGGAGGTGACGACGCCCTCGAGCGTGCCGAACTGCGAGTCGATGCCCAGCGTGAAGAGCATCAGGAAGAAGAGGATGGACCAGAACTGCGCGCCGGGGAACTGGTTGATGGCCTCCGTGAAGATGATGAACGCCAGGCCGGTGCCCGACGCAGACTGCGCACACGCACAAAGCGCCACCCGGCAACCCCGCGCTCAGCACCCAGTCGATCAAAATTCAAACAAAATGTAAAATATATTATTTAAAAATAGTTACTTTGGGTGATTTATGTTTTTTACTGTAATATATTTTGTATGCACGAAATAAAATAAGTATATTTTATTACATTTTTTGGATTTTTTATCCCTTGAGAGTTTTACAGACATGAGATCTTGAGATTATCATAAAAGCTCCTTTCTTAAGGAAATTTTTCGAAAAAACTTGGGGTTCTTAAGAAAATGTCGCTTGGGAGTCAGAGAAAATAAGCTACCTTGAGTAATTCACATATCCACTTGAAACATTAACTGATTTTCAGAAACTTTATTACAGTTCATTTTAAGATTTTTATTATAAACGATTTTTTTAAATTAATGTCAATCACCTCGATTTGGAATATTACTATTGGGGAAAATCCTGTGCTTGGTTTAGGCGCTAGCTTTGTATTTAGACTAGACGGAGACGGGAAGCGTAGGGAGCTATACCCGCGAGGTGGCGCTGTTCCTCAGGCCCCCTGATAACTTGAACCACGCCAGTATGTCCGCCAGAGCACCACCACAAGAATCTTATAAGCTCCCGAAAAGTGTAGTTCGTGTGTATACAAGGGGAGAGGAAGGGGAGATCGTTCGTGTTCCTTCGTTCGTTTGTTAAATCGACTGGTAGTGATCGAAAAAACGAGCGATAACTACCAATCGGAGTAGCCGGGTCTCAGGGCGAGCAGTAGATTTCTCGATTGACTGATGGATTAGTGATTGCTTGGTCGTCAGCTCTGTGAATGTAGAGCGCGTTTCCCTCGCGGGAGATGGCGATCTTCCCCCGCTACATAGTGAGATGCTGCACCGCCCTACGCGTCGGATTGCGTTTTCCACAACTCCACACTCCACTTCCACATCTCCCACCGTATTGACACCGTCCCAACAGGGACGAGCTCCAGGCTCCCGACTCCCGACTAGTGTGGTTGAATAGTGTATGTTAGCGTAAGAGAGTGTTTAAGTAAGGGCTGAGGATATGACAAGGAAGAGGAAGATAAGATCGGTGGGTGGCCCGTTTTAACAGGGTACAGCACCGGCATTCGCCTGGTGTTGATCGGAGAAACTACGTGAAACTACCGATCAGAGGAACTGGACTCCTCTGGACAATTCTCCTCCAGTCAGCGGCTGAATTCGACCTAGCCATGTAGGTAGTGCCGAAAATCCTCCCACCGTCAGGAGTCGAACCCTAGAACCTCCCGGTCTGGGGGACTGCTGTTACAACTGATGTCCTGAGCTACGTAAGCCGGCGATAAATGTGACTGTGTTGCTCATGTAAAAGTTTGTGTGTAAGGGGACAGCGGGGGGAGGGGGCAAAGCAGAGGAAAGAGAGATCGTTCGCCTTCTGTTGATCCGAGAAATGAGGCAAAACCACCGACGAGAGCAGCCGGGGCAAACAGCGGAACCCATAGGAATCCACTGAGGGCGCTGCGGAGAAGTCGACGAGTGCAGTCGCCTCAGGGGGACTCGTTGCGCTGGCGCCGCGCGAGGGGGGGAGGGGGAGGACAGGGAAAAGAGGGGGGGTGGGAGAGGGGAGGGGCGAGATAAGGTATCGCCCCGGGCGACTTTTCACAACGAACGCGTTCCCAGGGAACTGGAGCGGTCGATACACAAGGACAAGTCGCCCCGTCGTTTCAGAAGCCACATGCGCCGCTAATCCGTCCGACGTCACGTGGCAAATGGCGGCAGCCGCTGGAGACATTGGGCGGCAAGACATTCTAAATTACACATGCCCTGTTGGGGTTCAATTATCGCGGAAACTGACATACACTCACTTAAAAAAATTAGGACATCTACCATTATATCACATTTGCTTTCATTTAGAAGAAAATATTAAACTTCATACGTTAGAACAACATGCAAGTTTAATTTTACATTAAAAATATTAAATTACAATAAATTTGAATAATACCTAATCCTTCGGAACGTCAAAAAATATTCGGACACATAATGTAAACAAATAAATAAAATGAAATAAAACAAAATATAAGAACACCAATATCTTGTAGGGAGTCCTTTCATTTATAAATCTTCATTCAACCTCTTTGGCATGCTGTCTACGTGTTTTCTAGTATACTCTGCTGATATTTTATTTCATTCTTCATGCAGTCTCATTTTTAACTGTTGTTTGTTAGCGATGGGCTCCTTTTTCACTCTCCAACTTTTGCCAAAGATTTTCAATGGGGTTGATGTCTGAGGTTTTGGGGGGGGGGAAGGGTGAATAACTTTAGGACAATTGTATACGAGACACAGTTGAACCAATTGGAACATATTCTTAGCAGCATTGTCTTGATAAGAAATAAAATTACGCCCAATGCCTAACTTCTCAGCACTCGTTTCAGTGTTGGCTACAGATTCTTCTCTTGCGACTGTGTTTGCCTTTCTACACACCAACGTTCTTCCGTCAAGTCCTAACACATTAAAAATTACTCTCGTTTGAAAATACTAATCGTTTCCACCATTCAATATCCTTGCTTTTGTGCTCCTCAGCGAACTCTCGCCTCGTATATCTTATTTATGAAAGGCTTTCTTCAAGCTAAGCGACCATGAAATTCTGCTTTCGTAGAATGACTCACTGTTTCTGGATGCACTTCCTTCCCCAGTTCTTTTCTCACCTCTGCACCTTTCTGCACCTTTGGGGCATTTAATTTGGGATTATTTTTAATCTTCCTGATAACAAAGATCTCTTCTCGGCGGGAAAGTTTACGGGAAAGACCACTTTGGCGGTGAGACTCAATATTTCGTTTTAAATTTCCTGATTATATCACATTCCGTGCTTTTCTTCGTATTCAGATTTTTTGCCATTTCACGGCAACTCCAGCTTTTTGCATTACGAAAGATAACTAACTGACGCAGTTAGACAGAGCCATTATTTCCTTTTCGAGACAACTGATTTTTGACTGCGCGTCGATTATAACCGTTCTTGAATCAACCGTTTGTAAAGTTACTACATCTGCTTTCGCCCAATAGTTCGTTGGCATCGAATATATATATATATATATATATATATATATATATATATATATACACACACGTCTGTCCGAATATTTATTTGATGTGTAATTTCCGTTATTGGAAGTGCTAATGCAAATTCATCACTGAAATAAAAACAGAAAAAACGCGTTTTCAAGTGCACGTATATTTAAAGCTAAAAGAAAATTAAAATTATTACTCGTATAATCTTTTATTGTTTTAACAGACTAGAGTGTGTTCAACGTGAGTAAGCCGAATACCGTCCGATTATTTTTTTGAGTGAGTGTATATGACTGTGCAATCTGAATTAGATCGTTGGTTGACCTAGACGAACGGAACAACCACGAAAACATATAACATTCACGTTCTTTTCACCGTGAATAGCTGCCAATCGCGACCATATGAAGAAATTTTCTACAAAAACAACAAAATTTCTATATATGTTGGAGATGTCGGCAAGGAATATGGAAAATATTTTAATTGTGGTTCAAGTGTAGTTGAGTTTGCTGTTCAAATATAAATTTTTGATGCGTATGTGTTTTGTACGTTGGTATTAATTTTATATTTTGACTTATTTCCGTTGTATTTTTGTAAGTGAACGTTTTAATGACGTAATTTGATATATAACTACGATTCAGAAATGTAAGCTAATTATATTTTTTACAATGGATTTCTACCGGAGTATTCAGTCTTAGTATGATAATTATAAAGGTAGTGAATATTTGTTTTCAATTTATGTTTATTTTCGACTAATAATGGGCATCTTGATATTCTCACTATTTATAATGAGTAGGGCTAGGATAATTATGTAATAACAACTATTTTCTATTACATTTATGTATATGCATACTACAATATGTCAACAGAACAATTTTTCTCTAGTGAGAAATGCAATTTGTACAGTGCATGCTTTTGCATATTTTGAGAAACTTTATAATTGCATAATATTTAGAGCACATCGTTAGAATGATACACATTTTGCTATTTTCACAGGAAAATGTCTAAAACTTGCAATTAATACTTTATTGATGTAGTTACTAATTTTTACTAGTAATAATTTTAATAATAATAATAATAATAATAATAAAATTAAGAAGTTAATAGCAATAGTTATTTTCATTAGGAACCAATAATAATTCTGTAAGATATTGAAATCGCTGATAGAAATAGCAAACTTTAAATATGCGTCATTAACACCTGTAGTAGCTAAACGTCATTTTTCGCCGTGCATGTCATTTTTAAGAAGTAACAGAAAATCGTTGCTGTTTGCAAACCTTAAAATGGTGACTGTTATACTCTATTGAAATAAATTAAGTGACCTACCTTCTCAACAGTTTCAGGCAATAATTCAGGTGAATTTTGTCATTATTCGCATTGATTTGTTACACTATTTGTTACTTAGTTCTTCATTGAGAAGTATAGTGGATAAACAGAACAAAATATGATAATTTGATAATTTCATCATTTTATGGGGGTTTTGTATGGTACATATTTTCTGCGTTGTTAATGCATATACACCTATTTTAAATCTGTTAATTACATACACATTTTACATTTGTTAATGCATAAGTATCCGAGCACTAATAATGAAGCCTATTAAATGTAAGGAGAAAGTTTCCCTTATAGTTGTGGTGAAGATACGGAGTGGTGAAAAATGTTTTCACTGTGCATATTTCATTGAGCGAAACGTAATTTGAACAAGAAAGGTTTCATGCAGCACAGGTGACAATCGTAAAAACACTTTCATATGTTTCTTAGATTTCTTGTACTTCAACATGAGATGAGAATTAGCATTACTCTTTCAGAATAAATTTCTCAACTTAAAAGCCAATTTATCATTTGAGTTATTTGTAATTAATTATTTTGAAACTACGATTTTGATCCACTAGTGGCCATTGAATATGCAAAATTTTGTAATGGATTGATATTCGACTCAGGAATGGAAATCAATATTTCACTTCCTGAACATACTGGAAATAACTTAAATCCAAAAAATATGTTATTTTGCGTACGTAATTGCAATGCTAATATTAATAAGATGTTTCCAATTGATCCTTTAAATAAAAAAAGTCCAAAAGTGACTGACTTTTGTGTGGAAGCAAGGGAGTGTGGGGAGTGGATGAAGTGGGAGAAGTTTTTTTTAAATTTCATTGAACCGGGTCAGTAGGATTACCATTTTACAGGCGAGTGTTAGCTTTTATATCATTCCACGTCATATCGCACAAATTGAAAGAAAATGACCTTGATGTACCAGATTTTAAAACGTTTTTCTATGAAGAGTATAAGCAAAAATATGAAACACGTGTTTTTTTATTTTTCCCAAATGTTATTTTTCAACTTTACCTTATATTTCAAAATTTTCGAAAATATGCTCGCATCTCAAAAGTTAATAATTTTGAACTCGTCTAGCATTGTGTCAGAAATTTAATATTTTGCGATATTAAAGAACAAAAAATGCTCTTTCATTTGCTGTACATATTAAATTCATTAATTTAAAAAACATATTTTGGCTTATATTTTTATTTTAAAATTCCTTACAAAACTCGACAGTTTGAAATTTTGAAACAAAAATACTATTCACACTAGTTTTCGAAGTTACAAAGTAGGGCATTGGAATGATTCTGAGAAATTAAATAGAAGAGAAATGCCTACTTGTCGCTTTGCTGCAGCGGATACGTCATGCGTGCCAACTTTCACGAAGCAATAAACAGAAGTATCCCTTCACACCTTACTAAGTACCACATACGAACATCGTACATATATATGACCTTCACAGCCGATTAAAGTCAAATTAAAGTGTCAAACGGATTCAATTTAGTATTAAACGGGCAGGATATTTATACGAATAAGAATATGTGATACAGTTAATTACGTTGATATTTCTTTTACTTCACTTTACAGAGAATCATTAATTCCCCTTTTCATAAGATACTATGTATTTTCTTTGTGCTTTCTACTGTTTTTTATAATATGATTATTATATATTTATTACATCGTATCATTGTTGCTATAGTCCTCTTTCTAAGTATTGTTCAGCGTTGCCAAAATATAAAGGTAATGTTCTTCACATTATCATCAGCCCACATAAATAACTTCCTGGGTAAATTGATAGGTTTCTATCAGCACTGAAGTCTAACTTTTATCGAGAATATTATAGTTACCCCCCACTGCGTCGCTTTTCCGAAGAAATTCCATTCAACACTCACATTGAAGGCATTTTCATGGAAGCTTTATGGAACTCCATTCGAAAAAATATGTTAGCATAGTAGTAATCTTTCTTGGGAAGTGCTATGAGTTTACACAAAAAAGGATAATTGAATTCGTGTCGTGTTTCAGGCATACAGAAATTTTTTTAAAAAAAATTTTAATTATTTACTTTCACTGTAGTATAGCTCAAAAGGATGCAGAGTAGCTAAGACATTTATTCACAGCAGTCTCTTCAAGTACGAAATGATAATTTTCAAAAATAACCACAATGGACAATGAAAACACGTAGCATCAAATTATATTTTTGTTTCATGAAGGGAGCAGAAGACATCAAACAATGGGCGAAGTCAGCAGAAGAAACAGAAGACGAATTTATTACTCGTATTAGATGATACGATAGGGTGACCATGATCAACGGTGCACGTTTATTCATCATTGTCTCTGCCCAACATATTTGCGGCATTAACGAGTATGGTCGATCCTCACTTTCTAGAAAAACTTTCACTTTACTCGTAACAAGAAGAAATTTTGAAAACCAGTTTTTCTATACAAATAGCTTTTTATGACGGCAACCAGACAACTTTCAACTTTTCAGGAATGCTGGTTGTAACAACCTTAACGTACACTCCTATAATTATAGATTTACATATTAAGAAAACTCAAATAATACAATAATAGAATTGATAATATTGTAGGACTATCAGTACAGCAGAACAACGCACTTGTTTCGCGGATTCCTCTGTTTACACAACTGACTCAGCACATCTGGGAAAGAAGGCTGCTCTCTTTCGGGCAGATCCTGGCAGTGTCACTTGTTTATAAATAAACTGAATAGTCGTATTTACAGTGAATACTTCTATTTCTGACCGTACACATGTTTCTGGGATTCATAACACGACGTATGTCTCACAGTTGCTTTATGTTGGACGCCGCGATGCGTCGTGTCATTGACGCCCCGTACTTCGAGCAGCGAGCAGCGGGCTGCCTACGCTCTCCGGTGAACAAACTATTTTTTAATGTGGTTTATGTGAGTCCCACTCAAAAATTTGGCAGGTCTATACATTAGTGTAGAAATACGTGAGTATATTTTACAATTAATTTAAGTGTCGACAAAATTTAAAAATTTGCATTTTAAAAATTAAAATATATTTTAAATATTTAAATAGTATGATTACAAACACTATTTTTACGTCGAATGAAAGGACATTTTTTAAAGTTAAATTTAAACCTAATTTTGTCTTTCTAAAAAAAACGGTATTTGCGCAAAACAATTAAACATTAGCCCGCGCATGATATTTCGAAAAAAATAATTGGTAATATTTCTCACAGATTAGATTAGATGGATTAGAAAAAAAAATAGTGTCACCTCTTTTCAACCCTACACTTTATAAAAAAAATTTAAAGTCGCTAAAAAATAGTGATGTTTTGTGAGTGTGCGATTTGACGTGGAATGACTCATGTGTTATTACGGTTGAATGCACTACAGTGGTCCCGTCACCTCCAGGACGATTGTTGTTAATTTCATGAAACTGAATTTAAGAGAAAAGCAAGATATAGAGTGAGAGGTGAGATAATGTCTCTAGGGTATGGGGGACGCAACAGATCTTTTAGGTATTTACTAGGCCCTGAGGGGCATTACGCCCTGAGGAAGGTCGCAGAATGGCCGAAAAGTCGGCACCTTAGCCATGGACGCGGTGTCACCCGAACAGCCTAGTAAATACTGACTCCGGCTGCGAAAGCCTTCGCTCTCACCAGATCTTTTAGGTGTTAAAATTTAATTGCAGGAGAAAAAGCTGTTTTTTTTTCGAGGTTAAAGTGTCTGGTGTTTGGAGGTTAGAAAAGAAAACAAACGACAGTAAGGAAATATAATTTGTTATTGATTCTATGTCCGATTCTCTATGGAGTTGCCTGATGGTTATATATCACAGGGCGTTAGTAATTGTATGTAGCAGCACTTTATTCTGGAAGGTTTGCAAGGGTTTCAGAACGGAAGAAGCGACATCTCCCTAAATTGGGGCTGCGTAAGTTATTGTAGATCTTAGGACTGATATGTATAGAAACAGAAAATTTTCAATTTTAGAGATGGTTATTTTTTAATAAGGGGATATAATTTGAATAGGGCTCCATATATATTCCGTCTATGAATAATATGATGTTTCCATATGAGACGAGTATCCAGGAAAGACGCCTAGTTATTTGATTGGTTTATTCGAAGGGGTCCACGTAGTCGGGAAATTATGTACTTTTAAAGGAGGAGATACATTCGTTTTCACAAGGTAAACATTTTGGTTTCGCATTTTGTAGGGCTCCCCATTCGTGTCTTCATTCAGAAAAAAGCTTTTATGTCTTATTGAAGATCATTTACTGCTTCAGAAATTCAGTTGTTGGACGTGAAGATAGCTGTGTCGTCACCACAGAGAGCCGTAGCACAGTTTGATAATTCAGGGATATCTGCCGTGAAGATACTATAGAGGATTGGAGAGAGAGGGGACCCTTGAGGAACGGCAGCTAGAGTTGGGGTAGGTGAGGATAGGGTATTGTTCATTTTTACATTGAAGGATCTATTATCCAGAAAGTATTTGATTATTTGGAATAGATATTCCAGGAGTCGTAACGTTGTTTGAATAATAATCCATTGTGGCGAACTTTATCAAACGCCAGCACGACGTCTAAAAAAGCCGCTGCGCATAATTGTGTACGCTGATGTCCTGGAGCAAGTGTGTGGGTAGAGGACGCGGAGACGGGGCGAAGGGGGGGGGGGACTCACGTTGTCGAGTTCCTTCTCCAGGTCGCACTCGGGCACCGTGAGGTTGGCGGTGGGGTCCGCCTGCAGGGCCAGCAGCGTGCTGTTGCGGTCCGCCAGGCAGCGCTCGTGGATCATGGTGGCCTTGAACCCTGCCGCACACATTACCATGCAATCCTACATTCTCTTCACCACACTACTTTTTTATTATGTATCTATTACCTATTTCTCTAAACTTGTTCACTCATTAAATAGTCTACCTCCTTCCTATCCCATTCTAATAAATTAAATAATTAAATCAATTTGTTTGTAGAAATTGTTTCTTTAATTGAATGAGATTTCAACTAGAAAAAACAAAAATGACGCCCCTAACTATGGAATGGCTGCATTGTTATTTATACGTAATTCCATGATTTTTTTTTTGGTCTTACAACAATCAGACTGTTTGGAGAAATAAAATAGATATACAATCAATACAAGATAGGAGAAATGTACTAATGTAAATAATACGAATGTAAAGCATTGTGTAAGAAATCCTTCTATGTACTCTGTTGTGCAAAATATCCCTTAGAAGCTAATGATATGCATTCGTGTCCGCACGAACCAAGGATCTGCGGGAGTGAGTGCAACCATCTCTGGTGCAGCGCCGCCGGGGGGGGGGTGAGGACATCGTCGCCACGCCCCCTCCGCACACTCTACCAGTGAAGGTGAAAACCACTCTCGAAATACAACTTTTTCAAATTACCACTGTTTCAATCGATGCGCAGTTATAAGCAACTTATAAGCATAATACAGTAAACCCTCATTAACACGAATTTCAAGGGACCGAAATTATCGGAGTTCGTGTTATTCGAGTGTTACAAATGCCCGTATTACCGTTACCCTTGTCCGGGATGATGTTTTGTTCGTGTTACAACGAAATTCGTATTAAGGGAGTTCGTGCTAACTAGGGTTTACTAAATAAGCATGCTTACAAGAAACTTACAAACAAGCTTATAAGCAACTTACAAGAATGTTATGTTGAAGCCACTTCCGCAAATCTTGCGACATATCTTAAACTCTGTTTACACGCCTTAATAAGAAGTAGAATTTATTACGAGAAATTGTTATTATTGGAAAGATGGGAAGTGAAATAGATATTCATCGCGACATCCCAAGTGAAACTAACAGTAGATATAATACATTTTTCGTAAAACGTAAAAAAGACTTACGAAAATGCACTTTATTTTTTTTAAATTCCGACGTATATATAGACTTTTCAGTCGGCAATAACGTCTCATGGCAATGTTTAGTTAAATAAATAATCTTCTGCTTTCATACTTTATTAGGACGTATTACTACAATGCAGTTTTCAAACTGTCACTGCGGATTTAATTTTGAGTCTATACTAATGGAACTGGGTAAAATGAAAAATTATACTTTGGAAAAATTGGAAATGTGAGTGCTTCTATAAACCCACAATATAACGACATACACATATCGATAAAGATACACTTCTCAAGGAAAGCTGTAGAGATTAAGAGTTTGAAATTTATATGATAAATACACACAATAACAATACATTTAAGAAACAAAGAGAAATATTATTAAAAAATAATTTTACCAGAATATTTTAATTTTTATGACTAACACGTTTGATTTATTTTTCATTTAGTGTGCCTCACCACAACCACTAATTGGCACGATTTTATAATTGAACAGCTCAGTAGAACAAGGGACTATCGCACAAATTTTTTGTGAATATGAATTATTAGAATTACACAAAAATTCAAATATTAATCTTTTAGCGTAATATGTTATTAAATCCAGTATGACTTGTATGCAAGTGCACTGTGCTTAAAAATTTTAAAATGTACTGTGTTATACGATGGAATGTTAGGTAAAATTCTCATTATCTCAGAACTTTGTCAACGTGGGCCCTTGCTGTACTGAGCCGTTTACTTATTCATTCAGTAGTTTATTAATGATACATGTTTAATCACATAGAGCCCCCGGTGGACCGTTGGTTAGCGTGCTCGCTTTCCACAGCGCAACCCCAGGTTCGATTCCCGGTCGTGGCAAAAATTGTGCGCTTTCCTTGCAATGTCCCAGTATCTGTTGCTGTGTGACGATGAGAAAGCTCACTTCTCAGTTTGAAAAGACCAGTACATGGCGTAGGGTGGCAATGTGCTAACCCCGCTTACCCCTTAACCCATGGCCGCAATGCCCGGATGCTGCTGGTAAGCCTTAGCTCGTAAAGAGCTGTTGTACCAGTAAAAAGAGTACCTAGGCCCGAAAATGTTTATCAACGGCAAAACAAAAGTCACAATCAGGAGCAGTTTTTGATATTCAAAATGCTTGCATTTGTTCTAAGACGTATAATTCTTCTCAATAATTTAGAACGCAACACAAAACAGCAAATAAGAAAATAAGAAGCTCTTCCGCTTAAGAGACGTGGAGAGCAAAGTTGCGCACTCACCGATGATGGAGAAGACGACGATGCCGGCGAACATGGAGGTGAAGCAGTTGGTGAGCGAGACCATGATGGCGTCGCGGTAGCAGTTGTTGTTGACGGGGTTGTAGGAGGAGAAGGCGATGAGCCCGCCGAAGGCCAGCCCCAGCGAGAAGAAGATCTGCGTGCCCGCCTCCAGCCACACCACCGGGTCGGCCAGCGTCCACCACTGCGCAGCGCAACCTCGCTCGCTTCATACACGATCCCGCGCGCGACAACTACTCAAGTCATTACTCCGCTGAGCGTACTGCATCTTTTTATAGCGGGCGATCTCACCCCTCTGAATGTCGAGATTCAACGCTGACCTACACGTCGGCTCCCAACCAGGTATCTCCCACCAGCAGGACACCTCCTCAGCCGGGACGAGCTCACGACTGGTCTCCCGGCATGTGTTGCAAGTCAAGTGCACGTAAGTGTATGCGCGTGTAATAAGGGGTGAGGATAAGACACGAAACAGGAAGGAATGATCACACGCGGTCCGTGGTCCGTTTCATACGATACTGCTCCGGCATTTGCATGATATTGATAAGAAAACACGGAAAACTACCCATCATAGCAGCTGGCCGCTACAGTTCTCCTCCTGACAGTAGCTGAACTAGGCAGCGTGGGACCGAGTCAGAGGCCCTGCAGTGACATCCAGTGATGCCCTGAGCCACCTAAGCCGTCGCAAGGCGCGGCGACTACCCCCAGGACCCGTAACCGGCGCAGCAAGAGAAAAGCCACCAGCAAATGGCTGTGACCTCCGAACGCTTAAAAAGGTTCAGCTGAGTTTGCCTTTTACAAGCGCAATTGTAAAAATTGTGGAACCCGACTCTACAGAGTAGGTTTTTAAAAATTTGTCGGTTCATCTCAACTTGTGGTTTCAATTTGCGGCGAGTAACTGCGGATTTCTTATAACAAGGTTTTTCAGTTCTTGAAGGATTGTAATGTCGGAAGATTAGAAATGTCATTTATTTAGCAAATGCAACACGCCGGACAACTTAAGTGTTAATTTGGAAATTATATGAAGTAGCATAATGTTAATGTGCACTAACTTGCTATTTTGGGTCCTCCACGCTTTTCCCAGAGATGCCCAACGTATTACTTTACATCAGAATAATAAAGCAAATCAAAACGATGTGGTATTATGGAGAATCAGAGTTATTTAAAAGTCGATCAATTTACCCAATTCAATTCTGTTATTTGTCCTACATCAGCTTAATTACGTAGTAATTGTAATAATAGTGATTTTTCGCAATAGTTCTGTACCATATTACGTTCTTTTCCGTTCCGACTGTGTCGGCACGTCTGTTTTCGCGCTATCACGACGAAAGATGGCGCTTTGTTTCGATAACCACAAAGAGTAGGGATGAAACGTATGAATCGTAGAAGAAGCATTTGTTTGTGTACATGATCGTTGATGTATTTATTTGTGAGGGCTATTAAACTCGTCAAATTAAAGCCAATAATGTTTAATTATAGTCATAAAATGCTCCAATAAGGACTGTGTATCTTAAAAAATGTATCGCTTTTTCTTTCCGAATTTTCTTACTGCCCCTCCCTACTAGCCAATAATAAGCTGCGACTCATCTAGGAGCCGGTATGTAGCAATCGCTGTGTTGATGTGCAAAAAGCGCATATGTATTATAAGAAACCCTCTTTGATTTTAACATGCTTTCAGTTATTTTCAATATTTGGTGCATTTTGGAACTCCGATGGATGTAATTGCACTCGTGAAATTGCCCTATTGAATAAGCAGACTAGCTTTGGAAATTACCAGTGGTATTGGCTGTGCTAGCCTTCGCCGCTCACCTTGGGGGTGAAGAGGTGGCGCAGGCCGTCGCCCATGCCCTTGAGGGTGACGCCGCGGAAGAAGAAGATGATGAGCACGATGTAGGGGAAGGTGGCCGTCACGTACACCACCTGTCGCACACCGCACGCCCGCTCGCACGCAACGCACGCGCCAACAACAACTTCGTCGCTTTGACCAACTCTTCGGACTTTTAAAATATTTCTCAGCTGTAGTTTTTAAAACTTCACGTCGCTAGCATTAACACTAGGGGCATTTTTTACGTACAATTATTGATTTTTTAGTACGTGCTTCAAATTATTTTCTACAAAGTTCCTCGAAAACTCAGAAGTTCTCTGTGAAAATGAGTTCGAATTTGCGCATTTTCAGAAATGCTGAAAATACATTTTCTCAAGAATGGCTTCGATTTTTTCAAAGAAAATTTGTACACTTAATATCTATTTTAATGTAAAGATCACAGTCTTCTTTCACAATTAAGAAGAAACAGAGTACAGGTGTATGTTTAAAATCAAATATTCAAAATTGTCTTTTAGATTTTCTACATCACTTAAAAAGATTATCAACTGTACGTGAAATTTCCTGCTTAAGGTTGCCAGGATCTTTTCTGATATTATTGAGTTTCAACGTATGATAACGAGACTTGTATGAAAAAATGATGGGCTTAGGTATCATTATTAAGTATTGATATTTTACGTGGCATACGAATTGACACTCCATGTAAAACAAGAGGAATGTGACCCTAACCACGAATCAATCTGTTAATTGTGCACACGAGGCATAAGGGTGTACCAATACCAACGCCTAAAACTAAACTAATTATAAACTATACCAAATTGAAAATGTGAAATAAATTTTTAACTGTTTTGACAGATGCCAAAAGTTGTATAGGTTGCAAGAAATCATGTGTCTCAACCGTCATTACGGACAGGCTGTTGGTCTGTCGTGCCGATTGCGATAAAGAAAAGTTGTACCCAAACTGTCAAAAGGAGGCGCAAGGGAGGAAAGAAAAAAGTCTACATTCAAGTACTACCAACCTCTAAAAACATGTAATGATAAAAAAAAATTGTATCAAGTTACATAATTTAAAATTGCTCAATAAATTATAATGTAGTTTTTAGAGTCATAAAGAAGTTATTGACTACTCGACTTTAATTCCTCAACCAATCCGACCTTCAAATATATCTTCAGCCCTTATAAAACAGATTAACATTCAATCCATGTGAAATATACAAAACCACTTAGAGAAAGAATCCCAATTTATCAAGATAAATTTAATATGGAAACTCCTCACATTCTACAGAGAAGGAATTACCCCATCCCTTTTTGGCAATCCTTTAAACCTGATGTTAATACACTGATTCCCAAATCCTTAATCTCTCCAAAAATAGTTTCATCGCACCTGAATTCTCTTTATGAAGGCTATCACGATTTAGAAAAAGTGTATACAGATGGATCAAAATATCAAAAAACAAAGTTGGTTGAGCAATTGTATCTACAACCCCGCTCAATACCTTTAAATTCAGGTTACCAGAATAATTTTCTAGCTTCTCTTCTGAAGCCTGGGCTATCCTGAAAGCCATTGAATTAGACTCCGAAAATGGAGAAAACCGCAAAATAGTGATTCACTCATACTTTATGGCTACCTTAAATGCAATAGGTTTTCTAAAAATCTGATAATTCAAAGAATCCAAGAACAGTTATTTACACAAGAAAACAACGGAACCTTCATCTCTAGTGTTTGGGTTCCAGCACATAAAGGTATAGAAGGGAATGAAAAGGCAGATAAAGCTGCTAAAGAAGCAACTTCATTACCAACAACGGACAAGAGTGTGAAAGGAATTCTCTCCGATTTTATACTATATATTAAAGATATACTTAAAAACAGTGGAATGAAAAATGGCTGACTACCTTCTCCAAACTTCACCTCGTAAGGAAATCCGTTATTGAACCCGCCCTCCCGAAACTCCAAATCACTAGATTCCAACAAGTCCAAATTACCAGACTACGTATTGGCCACTTTAATCTCTCGCACATTCACCTAATAACAAAAGCTGACCCAGAACACTGTTCTAAATGTGGATCCCTAGTATCTACATCCCATATTATTCTGGAGTGCCCTGAACTAGCTCATATAAGACAGTCCTTAAATTTAAAAGATTCTCTATATAATTCCTTCTCCTCTCCAGAATAATGTATAAAAGTCTTACAACTTTTAAAAACATCAAAAATTGATACCTTAATATAAAGACCCTCCTTTACTTATATCTAATATACAATAATCCTTCAAACATGTAGTTAATATCTAAACTTGTGTAACGTAAATAAATAAATATGTATACCCATCCCAATTATATAAGTACCTACATTATTAATACATTTTGACCATTTACATGCTTGTATAAATTGTATGTAATTGTATAATGTCATAACTGTAAAAAATTTGCATTCTTGTGTTAATTATAAATTGATTCTCGTGGTCGCTTATGACCCAGATGTTGAAAAGCGACTTTAAATAAATAAAATTTTTAAAAAAGTTATTCGACTCAACTTGCGAGTTGCAACAGTTGGTAATCTTCATAAACAAATTTCCAACATCAATATTAGTTTCCTGCTATTCTCTTTAGGTAGTACTTCAGTATTCAAAACATCTATTTAATGGTCAGTACTAAATCTACAGTCAGCGAATTTTGTTTATTAATGATTTCATTCACATTTCTTTTATTTTCCGCCAATCTCAATTTCAACTTCCTCTTGGTATGTACTATATACGATTCTGAAAATTCTGCACATTCAGTTTTGTATACAGGTCTTTGTTGTTCCTGTTTCCGTTCAACACCTTCAAGATTTCTAATTACACTCCTATGATTGGTAACTATGTCCACCTCAATCAGATCAATTATAGTTTTTAACTCCGATTTTACCTTGAAATTAATAGAAGGGACAAAACGAAGGCAAACAATTTGTCTTTTAAATTCTTCACTCTGTCTCGCTTTCCAGAAGCAGAACTATCATTCATATTTTTCTTGTTCATCCACATTATACATTTAATCATTTTATCAATTAATTGTGAAGGATAATCATGCATAAGTAGGATAGATTTTTCTTTCTCCAAACTTTGGTATGAAATTCTGGAGCTGACAGTTTAATCGCCCGATCTACAAGATTATATATAACCGATTTCTTAATCTCAATTGGATGTATCGACATGAAATTTAACGCGAGACCAAAAAATGTATGCTTTGTAAACCAATTATTTTTGATAGCAATGTTCAATAATTAGAGGGCGGATTTTGATGGCCTAAAAACAGCCAAAAATGATCAATAAAATGCTCTTAACATGGCTTTAAAATGCCTTAAAAGCAAATAAAAATGACATTTTAATCAAAACCAGCTCAGAAGAATAACTCAATTTGTTGGATACATTTTGGTCTTCTTCCATTTGTTCAATTGAACCAAACTTGCAAGGTTTTGGTTTGGAGAGTCCCTTACCACGAAATCTCTGTATTTAGTTATGGCGAAGTCATTAGAACAGGCAATGGTTCTGATAGGCGTCACAGGAAGCTTAAAAACTCAAAAAGGCTGACATTACAATTTCTGAACGTAGAAATCGAAAAGGCTACTGAGAATGTCCGCGGATAACATTTGTTGCATCCCACAAATATTATTTGAAGCTAGTATCATTCAAATTATATTAAAATCGATTAAATAAGCGACAATTCTAAAAATGGCGGGCTGTCTTATTAGTCAAAAAAGAAGAAAACCCTCAAAAATTCGTTATAATAATGGGTCATTTCCTTCTGTCATATAAGGTGCTTTCCTAAATGAAATGGAGACCGTAGCCTTAGCGGTATTGTATCAACTCCCCGTATGTGACTCTCATACCATCGGCTCCACATTGTTTTTTTTTTGAAAGGTCAGAGATTCACCTCCGACGAGAACGTGTGAGCCACAGTGGAACAGCGGATCCACCAGCATCCCAAAGTTGTTTGCACTGAAGCCATCCACTACTTCCTAGATAAGCTTATAAATGTAAACCGTGATAATTTATAAGTTACTGTTTAAATTAAATATTATTTGCATGTTGGCATTAAATATTTTTTCTATATCACTGCAATCTCCTTTTCCATTGGGTACGCCTTATAACATAAAACGAATGTCTATACTAAAAGCATTGTCCAAAGCTAAAAGAAATGTTATCATCGAAATCCGTTGCACGGCTCACCTTGCCCGAAGAGGCGATGCCCTTGATCATGCACATGTAGACGAGCACCCAGGCCACCAGCAGCGCCAGCGCGATCTTCCAGTTGAACTGCTCGGGCGAGTTGATGTCCTCCGACACCATCAGCGTGGAGCGGTACCAGAAGTACTGCGTGGGGCTGCTCACCTTGCACTCGGGCTCCTCGGTGTACGAGCCGTTGTCCCAGTAGCGGTTGGGGCAGCGCGACCAGGGCAGCTCCGCCTGGAAGCTCTGCGCGCGCCCACCGCGTGTTAGGCTCTTTCCATGCGCACAATTTACGCTCTGTCAATGCGTAAGGTAGTGCCTTGCCCGTGACTGTGTGTAGAGCACAATTTAGGCTCTCCCCATATGTAAGGAAGTGTCTTACCAGTAACAGTGTGTGTTCGGCACAATTTCGCTCTCCCGATTTGTAAGGGAGTGTCTTGCTCGCAACTGTGTGTGTAGGACACAATTTAGACTCTTCAAATGTGTAAGGGAGAATGTTGCCCCTAGTTGTGTGTGTGCGGCACAATTTATGTTCTCCCGATATATACGGTAGTGTATTACCTCAGTCAATATTATTTTTTTTTTAATTTAGTAGTGACGCCTCGGGTATTTGATTTCAGAAACAAGAAATGGTGATCGTCTGAGCGGTTTCTCAATACCACTCCACGATTCTCTCCCAGCGATTGGCTGAATGCGTGATGTAATTATATGCGCCATACACGGAACACACGCCATCATCTATGCCATAAAATAAGGCCTTACAAAGCCAAAGGAGGTAAGAATCAAATTTCCGAAACGAAGGTTTCGACATATAAATCGTGGGCAATGCACAATTAAAGGAGAGAAAATACACAGTTCCGATCATCTTTCAAGTAGTTGCAACATTTCCTTAGTGATGGCGGTAGTATGCCAAGTATACGGAAGGACGTTTTCATTGATTTCCGGAAAAAACAGTATTTTATAATTGGCTGAAATAGACTATTATGTGCCAACTATTAATTTTTATTATGTTAATTATTCAGAAGCGCGTAAGCGGGAGTGTGTAATAATTAACGAACACATAATGGTCTTTCAGCCACATGTAATAAACAATATCTTATCCGAAAGAACATTTTGAGCTTATTTTATTCTGCAAGTGGCATTTCGGTGAATGGTATAATATTAATCTCGATCCTATATTGCAGGCCTTGAATTGTGTATTTGAGTTAACAATCGCTGTCTGTTGCGAGAAAATGGAAGATATTTTTGAATAGATTAAAAATGAAGTGGCGAAAGGTGTGGAAGATTTATGACATGTGTATATACAAATATAATCGTGAGAATACGAAATTTTCAAGGATTGTGAGAGAAATAAATATTAAAAACATAGCCAAGGTATTATACTAGCTTATTTTGCTGCGAAAGTATCTACCAATCCTTAAAGCAGGTTCGTAAGATTGTATATAAAGTGGATATTATACTTAGTTATGTGATAAGTATTATAATTAAATGTACTATTTTCATTAACAAATAATATAGTATAAGTGTGTGTGTATATATACATTCCCTCAACTTTCAATAAAATATTTTTTATGTGCATCATATTGTTCAAATCGCCGGATGGCACATTTTGTGTTGTTTATCGCGACAATTGATAGCTACTTTATTGTAGGGCTAAAATACAAAGCCATTTCACCGTCTCTGGACACGTAAGTGAAGAGCCTAAAAAGGCGATAGGATAGAGTTTCGGCTTCGCAAGGCATCAAGTGAGCGAGGAAGAAGGAGGCGGTTGAGGCGCTGACCTGCACGAAGTAGAAGAGGCACCAGGCGATGATGGTGTTGTAGTAGAGCGCCACGTTGAAGGAGACGACGGCGGAGCTGATGCCGATGCCGCCCAGGAAGGGCGACACCTGGTTCCAGACGCCGATGGCGCCCTTGCGCAGGCGCTGCCCGATGGCCAGCTCCAGGTAGAAGATGGGGATGCCCTCGATGGCCAGCATCACGAAGTACGGGATGAGGAAAGCGCCGCCTCCGTTCTTCTGCGCCAGGTACGGGAAGCGCCACACGTTGCCCAGCCCCACGGCGTAGCCCACGGTGGCCAGCAGGAAGGTGAGCTTGCTGTCCCACGACTCGCGCTCGTCCTCGCCCGCCTCCGGCCGGAACACCGCCTTGCCCTCGCCAGAGCCCAGCTTGGTCCCCGTCTGCAAGCGCATACAACGCACTTGGAGCGCCTCGCGGCTTCGGGCATTGGGCGGCGGGTGCAGGGGTGCGTCGGTGCGTGGGAGTGCGCGGGGAGGTCTAGTGTGGGAGGGTCTCTGCATCTCCATACATGAAGCAGTGCGCCAAATTGCGCGCTTTTAAATTGCTATTAAACGGAAGGTTCCTTTTCTTAACTTAGCTAAATAAGATCCCATAAAGGGCAAGAGCCTCCTGCCTTTAGCAGGGAATATTGAATGATGAGAAAGGGTGATTATGAGGGACGAAAAGACGAAGACAAATACAACAATGCCTGAGGCGGTATTCGAACCGACGATTCTTCGGCACGAGATCGCCAGGGTACTACTGCCTTTGCGTTCTCGGCCACCTGGATCGCGGTTGGTTCATTAATTTCTCGGAACGTACAACGTGTTCCTCTAACCTTCAAACGCCTCAAAAATATTTCTATGATGAGACAGAAATCACAATTTATTCGTCATTGCAAGAGCTTCACGTAAGTAAACCTCCGCTTAGGAAGAAATGCAGTGCAGTTCATTGGAAATGTTTATAAGACTAAAATGTTTAAATACTAAAAACTCAGACATCGTATCCAAACTTGTAAAGATAAAAATGCTCGCAGATGAAAGCTGCATTCTTTACTCAGCACTCGAAATCCACGAACAGTGAAGGAGGAGAAAGAAGTTGAAAAGTGCTAAGGGTTGGGGGGACTGTAGCTTCAAACGCAGAGGCTAGGTCACACGTAACAAAAACACTTGCGGTTAATTATCCACTACGTTAATATCAAATGATTGGCGGCAGAATGTGACTGAAATGTTTAAAAAGAGCTACAAACATAATTGAGTTCGGTTTTAAATATCAGCATAGGTGGCTCAAGACATCAATTGGTGCCTCTGCAGTGCCTCTGACCGGGAGGTCCTTAGGATTTAGATCCGACGATGGCAGGATTTTCGATTCTACATAGCTAGGTCGGCATCAGCCTGTGTCTGGAGAATTCTAGCACCCGGCTGCTCTGATCAGAAGTTTTACGTGGTTCCTGCAATCACTGCCAGGCGAATGATGGAGTAGTACCCTAACTAACGGGCCAAGGACAGCGCGTGATCTTTCCCTCGTTCTCACCTTACCCCTTACTTACAAACTTTACACTTACATGCACTGCACTACCACACATGCCGGAAGACCAGTCGGGAGCGTAGTGCTTGGCGCAGTGCCCCCTGGTGGGAGATACGTGGTTGGGGGAAAAAAACACTTCCATCCACAGTGTAGGTCAGCGCCGGATCTCACTACCCTCCTGGGGAAGATCATCGCTCCTCCATCAAAAAAGGGCATGCACTGCACTAACGAGTCTAAACTTTATAGTTTACTAGTTTGTTGCATAATCAAACGAGAATTGGAAACATTTTATTACTTTTTTTGCGTCTAAAGAGAAAAAAACGCTGTGTAATCAATGTGAGTCAATGTGAATCAATGCAATCAGTGTGTGTCAATGTGATAAAAAAGGCAGAATGTATATCTGATTACTATTGCATACTCGTTGTTGGACTGATGTGTTTGTACAAATTTAATGAATACTGTGAAGTTCCCGCGAAAATTGTCGCAAAAACAAAGCTACGGTCAGTGATTTCCAGTAAAATCTCGAGAAACATGTGACACGGATTATGGTGCATTTAAGAGTTATGCAAAAAATAACGGTCTGAATTGCGTTGATAAAACAGTCCTTTTCGGTTATTTGTCTTTATTGCCAAAAAGTATTTAGAATATTTTATAACATAAAAAAATAACGTTTTGACGATGTAAGACGATCTGCATTATACATTTACTTATTACTAGAAGTAGAATTAGACGTTAGACACATATATATTCAAGAAAAGTATGCTATGTCACTAGAAAAGGTGATACATAATAGTTAAATATGAATGACTGAGGGCAATTCTAAATATACGGGAACATTCCAAAACTGTAATTTTCATACCAATTAAGCAAACTAAGGTTTATACGAAGTAATTTTACTTCTTTGAGCATTATACCATTTATTTATTGTGTATTTGCATTTATCTTAACTTCAATCGAATTCATAAAAATGTTGTATGTGTTGTTGGTATGAGATCGGCCATGAAGTATTCACAAGGCGCGCATGACCGTAAATAACCAGAAAGACCCGCAAGGGAATTAACAACACCGTTACGTGTTTTGTTGCAAGTCCGTAAATACACAGCAATGAACTAGTAAACTAAAGGTGTGTATGGTGTACCACGGTGCTACTCGGTTCTTGTTCCGCAGGCGACTTCCGAACCTGAGGGTCTCTGGCCTGCGGGATTGGAAGTCGTCTTCGGGGCAAAAATATTGTCAAGCTGGCGCGAACATTTTTTTTTAAACTGAGCACAATCGATTTAAACTAATACGAATATTTAGTACTAATTTATTACCTAATTAAATTTATTACTGTTATTGTTTATGAAATAAATATTGTGAAAAACTGCATAGTTATGAAACCACTCACGACGTTCCAGCATTAATTTAGAGAGTACGAACGGGTACAATCAACAAAACCCTATAGACATTCAATACTATTTTTTCATCTCAAAGATAAGTTAATGTTGCCGGATATTAAATATGTTAAAATCTGAATCATAGTTGTACAGCCGTACCGTCTACAATTTCGATAATAGAACCAACGAGCACATTCAAATAAAACACACAGGTCTGCAAACAATAATTTTTTTCAACACAATGGGATATATTTGCTGAATTATATGCTTTAAAGAGCACAGATTCTAAATATGACTTCCAAAACATTTTAGGTCCAGTATACCAAAAAGTTTAGGTCAACTTTTTTTTCTTGTGATACCTTTTCTTTTTTTTTTATGCGTCTCCGAAATTGAGAGCGTAGGCTTCCGCGGCCGGAGTCAGTATTTACTAGGCTGTCCAGGTGACGCCGCGTCCATGGCGAAGGTTTCGGTCGCCATTCTGCAACCTTCTTCAGGGCGTAATGCGAGGGCATTACGAGGCCATCAGGGCATTACGCCCTGAGGAAGGTCGCAGAATGGCGGCCGAAACGTCGGCATCTTCGCCAAGGACGCGGTATCACCCGGACAGCCTAGTAAATACTATTCTCAGAACTTCTTTCCGATTTTTTTCTTTGGTTTCTTGATAGAGCATCCAACAGTTTTCCGCTAACATACTGACATCCCATTTTTCTTGGAAATGTTTCTCAAAATCACGGACATCCTGGTAAAAATCTTTCACCGAGTTCTTCACTGCATGCTTCACTGTAAGTTTCCTAGAAAGCAGTCAATGCAGGAGTGTAATAAATTAACTTCTAAGCTCATCTTACATCCTTGAAATGCATACGCTGCAAGCATGCGTTGTGCAATGGTGGTTCCTTAGTACTCCCCACATTTTCACTCTTCGCTCACACTCACATAATCACATTTTCCTCTTTTGAGACAACTAAGTATATATTCTCGCTCTCTCTCTCTCTCTTTCTCTCTCTCTCTTTATTGTTTCAGTACACATTGTGCTCATTAGACCATTTATTACCTCTACAGGCGCGATGATCACCATACAATTGAGAGACATTCCGGCCCGTATTTGCTTCCCCAAAACAAGGAACAGTTTTTCAGAATTGCAGGTGTGTTGCGATTAAAAGGATCCAAACGTTGAAAATGATTTCACGTGCATAACACACTACACATCTATAACTCAAAGAGCCAACAAGTGGATTAAATTCGATGATTTAAGAGTCGCATCAACTAGTGTTTCAAAAAGTACTGCAATTCTGAACCATATTTCTGGCAATTAAGAATGATCAAAATAAATTAAAAGTAATCAAAACAAAAGTGTAAGAAAACAAACATATGGTTAAGTACAGAAAGGTGCAAAAAATGGAAACAGCATCCTTAGAAAGATTTCTTTTGAATTTGTATTTGTAGGCCTAAAGTCGACCAAATTGATTCAAATGGCGGAAAATTTAAGTAGTTGGCGGAAGAGAGATGACCTTGGCCGCGGGCTGCTGACGTCGAAGGTCAGGGTGGTGGCGCCGTAGCCGGCGGAGGAGGATGGAGTAGGGCAGGGCGAGAGAGAGAGGGTGTGTGCGAGTAGGAAGTCGCCAGGGCTGCTGTCCTCAAAGGGTAAGTTGTTGGCGCCGTAGCCGGCGGTGGAAGGCGAGGGGCGGGACGAGGGTGGGTGAGGGCGAGTACCTTGGCGCCAGGGCTGCTGTCGTCGAAGGCCACGTTGGTGGCGCCGTAGCCGGCCGAGGAAGCGCCGTTCTCCACCACGAGGCGGCCGCGCAGCTCCTTCATCTCGAGGCGGTCGAGCGAGCGCTGCGGGTTGAGGTTCTGCGAGCTCTGGCGCCGCACCAGATGCGCCGTGTTGGCCATGGCGCCTCAGCCGCCGCCACCTGCCACAGATGCCACGCCGCCACCGCGTTCACTCACAGCGCTTTCGCAATAAAACATGCAGTAAACATAATGAAGCATTTGCCCCTGATTAATAAGGCCACCCATCAGGTATTGGCATTGGTCGGTTGGGGTTATGACAAGAGCAGGGACATCAGGTATTGGCTTCAGGATCGTCAGATTGACGCGGAGAAATCCTGTACCTGCCCTAGATCAATGTTCCGAGTGTATATTTTATCGTTTGCCGAAGATTCGGTCCTTGTCGCTTGGGGAGGCGAGGGCTCGTTCGCCCAGCGAAGCGTTGACTCAACTTTCGTGCTGACATAGGGGAACTATCGCTGCGCTTAACACACCTTTAAAGAGACGCCAAAAATGGTGTCTTTCAACCCGAATACATTCTTGGGACCTTTTTTAAACATATTTTGAACCACACTTTGAAGTAAGTCTCGGGGAATCGCTCCAATTTTCACTTCAATAAAGCACCAGACCTTTTTCTCCGAATTCGGGTTTTCTTCATTTTTTGACTATTGATGTATTCACTCAGATGAAACCCCACTTCAAAAATAATCAGAATGTGCTAAGAACGCATTCGACCGGAAAGACGCCTCGTTCAGTACGTTCAGCACTGCGATAGTTCTCGTATGGCAGTACGGGAGTTGGGTGAGTGCTTCGCTGGGCGAGCGAGCATCCTACTGCCCGAGCGACGTGGACCGCATCTTCGGCGAACGGTAGAATATTTACTCGATACTATAACATGCCACATAGCCAATAGCAAATATAACATCTCACTTCCTGATACAAAATTTACACACGTTCATGGTGAAAAATGTATTATCGTCGATATTAACACACGTACTAGAACTTTGTATTATTTATTCCGACACTGCGATGTTTCCCTTGTTATGTTTACGTCTCATTCGTATCAACGGTTTTCGATGTATCATTCAACATAGAATATCACCTACATCAACCGTCAATTTTGGATTATTTTTTTACTCATTTGAAGTTTGACTCATTTAAAGAAAGTCAATGAGTCATTATGTAAAACGTAAGTCTGAGAAATAAGTAAGATGCGAAGATGTGAAGGGAAATAGCATTGCAGGAGCAAAATGTATGGTCTTATACATACGTTGCTTCTCTTCGCTTTTCATATGTTCACAGGTCATGCGTGCAAACATCAACAGCCCTTCTACATTGGAGGAGACTCCAACGCACGTGGCTCCAGGATTCCACTCTCGACGGTGAAAGGATTATCAGCACTAGCTACATAGCTAGGTCAGTCGATACCTGGAGAATTCTAGCGGCCGGCTGCTCTGTTCGGTAGTTTTACGCGGTTTCTCCAACTCCAGGCGAATTCAGGAGCGAGTGATATTTCCTTCCCCTTCCTTGTCCTATCTTCACCCCTTCATTCCACACACACTCACATGCACTACACTACCACACATGCCGAGGGACCAGCTGCATGTTTGGAGCTTGTCTGGACAGGGGTGGTGTATGCGCCAGATCTCACCATCCAAAGGGGGAATATTACCGCCGCCTTCTAAAATATGTACTAAACTTACGGGAAACAAGACATTAGCTGTTGACGGGCCCGGAATCAATATTCAATTGATCGATCCATCAAACCCACCCTCGGAGTTTTCTACAACATTGTCGAACAACATATTTTACAATATATTTTAACCATGCTGCTCGAGTGTTGCGGGATGCATTTCACATGACTACATTTTTTTTCAACAAATCCTTCACAATCCTTTAAACAAATATTTTAAAGTTACAGTGCAATTTGAAACGACTTCGTGTAATGCTTTCCATAGATACCTCGTTTATAAAGATTGGTTGCGTGTGATAGCCGAAAAACTCATCTCCACTAGTGGTGCTATACAATGGCACAGACTTTCTGATACTAGTTAGTTTTCTAATTTCTTTAGTCTGGGCTAGATTTTTGAACTGCCAGCTGTCATCTATCACCGCTCAAAGTACTTTTTTTTAATTTCTCAATTTTTCGATTTCCTAATAGTATTACCAGAATATTACTTTAGAAATATACTATTAGAAGAGTAAAATCGCGTCTTATTGGGAAACTTTCGTTTACAAAATTGGAGAAAATTTAGATTTTAAGAAAAAGGCGTTTAAGGTTTGAGTAAATGCGAATTTGAAAGTCTTTTTCACAGAAATATTTTGACCTTTAGAAAAACTTGTCTTGACGACATCTTTGTTTACGACACTAGCTGGAATCCATTTACTTTCGTACAAGGAAGGTAAAATAAAATGTATCATCCTTTACTCGCGTTTCACTCACGGCGTGTTTATGCAACACGGGTGCGAGGTGATTCCCTTACCCGTCTCGTTGTGGTCCTCGCTAAGCTCGGACGACAAACTAGACTCGTGCGTGAATCATCTGTTTCGCGCCCACGTTACGAAAACTACTATTAAGACAAATTCAACTATTTGGGAGCGAAAAATTGAGAAAATATTTTTAAAAAATCTAGTTTTCGCGTCGATAGATACGAGCAGGGGCAATGTCAAAAATACAGCCTTCAATACAGAGATTAGAAAACTGACTAGAGAGAGAAACTCACTACCATTCTGTAGTACCTCTAGTTTCCTATTGTAGCCCCTTCGAAGTCTCCATTCCTTCAAATCTTGGCATGTTTTAAACCCGTCAACCTTTCAAAGTTTTTATAATAAAAAATAATGATTTGTTTCGTGTTTAAACAGTTAAAAATTCAAGTTAGGCCTTAAGACATTCCTAAAATATATTTGTTTTTATTAATGAGTATTTGGAAATCCATTTCTACCCATTACTGATGTTTAAAACAATTGTCTTATGACGAGAAAAATGAAATGTAAAAAAACAAACAAAAAAAAAAACGTTTTTCACAAAACGGAGAGTAGGAAAGGTGTGGGTGTCTGAAAACTTCTTTATCTTACTTCCTCTTTGCCTCAAACATATTACTCACAGAGTTGGTTCAAAATGCTTCGTGGCACCTTTTATTTGCTTATTATGCTACAGTATTGTTTTTGTTCATGGACAGAGCAAGGTAGCATAAAAAACGTTTGATCTTCGTTGAATTTTTTGAATTTATGAAAACTTCGAAAGTTAGAAATTATGTGGGAAAATACGTGCTGGTGTAACATACTAGTTTCGTTTATCATCCTTCGACATCGGGGTGGTGACATTTCTTAGTGATATCATATTTCGTTATAAATCAGTAAAAAAATGTTTAACTTCATACTAATGGAAGCACCAGTCTGCTTATGAAGCTTCTTGCGTTATAACTAGACCTCGGAATTTTATCACAAAAAAATTATGTTTTGGGCACCTAAAATAGATCACAAGATTAATAAATTAGCACTATCAAGCATAAAAAGTGATGTTTTAAAATACATTGCAAACCGATTAATTAAGGCATTTAAAAATCAATAGACACGAAAAGTTATGTTTCTGACAACTAAAACCTCGCGAAACGATTAATTTAGACACAAATTATTCATAAAAGTATAGTGTTTTTACATTTATAAGAGTGCCTACAAACATATTAATTTATACACTTTCACAATTAAATAGCATAGTATATAAAGCATATTTGTATTAATTGCATATTTGTTAGCTTTTTCTTGACCTCTTGAGTTATTTAAAATGGAAGTGAAGAAACACAAGTGAAGGAACTCAAGAAATCGTGCGCAGATATTTTCCCCCTACGTCACATACAGTTTTTACTGTTTTTTGACTGAATAAATCTACATATAAATCTATAACTAAATCTAAAGTGGTTCTTGAGTTTAGGTAGTTGTAGAAAAATGCACATTTTTTTCTATTCTTTCTTTTTTTTTTAGAAAAAATATGTATTTTTTTCATTTTTACTGATACGTTATAGCTTGTTATTGCCTTCGATACGGAGGTAGATATACGATGCATAACGTACCTGGATCGAGAAGGCCGCAGTTACGAGGGAAATATGAAATCAGTTGAATGATGCTACATGTTTTCTTAAGGAGGGAACTAGGAGAGGACATTATGGGAGCGAATTATGAGAGAGAAAAATGAAAAGACGAACAGAGCCAAGTCAACGTGTAGTTAATTAGTAATAAGAATTCATAAAATTCGGTAAAATATAAAATTATGTCTGTACCACGAGCGTTAACTGGCTCTCATGACCTCCGGCAGCAAAAGCCCTAGGACCAAAGGCCCTCGTGCGTTTTCTCCCCGCTCGGTCTTGAGAAGCCTTATGACGCCCTTGGTGCATAAACTTTTTTTCCTTAATGACCTACACTCAAGAACCACATTCATTCCAGTATTCAATTGGAACCCTCCCCCCTCTCTCACAAACTCCTTCACACGTAGGCATACACGCACAGAGAAGAAAAGTCGAAATTACCCCGTTTACTTTCTTGACATTTACGACGTGAGTCTATTCAGTAATATTCTCCTTTCCGGCAGAATACTTTCGCCTGACCTATGTCTTTCCTCGCCTGGATTGAATAGACGACGCGACGCGGCCACAAGCCTCAACCTGTCATCTGCGCAGCTTCGTAGGAAATGGTTGCAATTGCCCAAGACGTGCGTGCTGATCGAAACGAGCGCGAAACGTCCTCTTTATGTTGACTTGGAAAGAGCTCCTTATGTTCGGTGTGTTGGGTGAGAGATTTCGGTGCGTAGTCGATTGCATATTCGTCGATCGGGAAATATTCGAGTTTCGGGAAATTCCGGAAATTATTTGCGTTTTGGTAAAACAAAATCAAACTAGTGGTGCTAAATCAGCAGGTAGTTTAACGCCATTAGAAATGTTTACGTAATACTATTTATACCACAATTTCTCTCCGAATTATTTTTGTAAAACTCATTTGAAATCGTAGAACGTTTGGTGCGAAAAATAAGCAGAATGCGAGAAAGTAAAATAATTATAAGTTAATAAATAATACGATACTTATAGCGTTGGAAAACAAATAGATCGAAAAATATATAATAGAAATTATTAAACACCATCGTATGGTAATA